AAAAAAACATAACTAAGTTTTATTTTTTTGTGATAAAAATTAAATATTTAAAACATGTTTGGTAGTCATTTTATATTTAAAAAATTGCGAAAACAAAAATAAAAAATCTGTTTTGTATTATACCAAAAATTCATCAGCCAAACCCCACCACTCAACCCCATTAACCACCTAAAACCACCATCCAACCTCACTGACCACCCAACCCCACCACCGAAACCAACAACCCACTCCCACCGTTGAAAACCACAAACCACAACCACCCCAATGACCACAGAAAACTACCACCCAACCCATCCCTGAATACCCACCCCCAAACCACCACCGAAATCCACCATCCCAATCCCCAAAAATCCACCACTCATCTATATATACAGACAATATACATAGATCTAGGGCTTGAAATGACGATTGAGAGGAGCGATGGCATGTTTTCCCCCCTTTTCTGCTTCGTCTTTGACAAAGAGAGAGAAAGAGAAAGACAACTGAGAAGGGCGGTGGAGATGGCTTCGGCTTCGTCTTTGGCATCAAAAAACAGAGAGAACTAAGAAGGGCGATGTCGAAGGAGATGACTTCTCTTCATCTTCAGCCTTTGGCATTGAGAGAGAGAGAGACGACGGAGAGGGGTGAAAGAGAAAGAGATATGAGTTTTTATACTCAAAGCAAAAAAAAATCATATTTTGTTGCTAAAGATGATCAAAGTCAAGACCACATTAAATCTCTTTATCAATCGTGCATTTATTTTTATTTTTTTTGATATTTTCAAAAACATCATTTTGGATGCTTTCATATTTTAGTTTTGTTTTCAAAACAGAGCAATAAATAAAAACCAAAACTTTCATCAAACATATTTTTATTTTTATTTTTTACCATAAAATAAAATAAAAAAAAATAAAAACCACCGGTTACCGAACACTACCTTAACTAAATGTCAAATAACTAGCCCTCGAGATGCTCACTCTGTCTCTCTTTATAGTGCGAAACCCAATCTCACGGAGTCATAGATGTAGACATCTCTTGACTCTCTATCTTTCACTCTCTCCGGCAAAGACATCTCTCACCGGCTCGTTAGGTTTTCTTCCCTCTTTACTCTATGTCTCTATATATTTTGTGTTTGTACTTTGTATGTAGATTGTGTTTGTATCTCTCACAACCTCGATTCCCAGCCGAATCCCGATACTCTCAAGCCCTAAAACCCCTACTCTCAAGCCCTAATGCCCCTAATCTCAAGCTGTAATACTCAAATCTGACGAGTTGGGCTCTCTTTCTTCCCCCTTCGATTTCAGCCTCAGATCTAAGAGTTCATGCTCTTAGATCACTAAATGTCATATGTTTGTATTAGTTAGCAGGAATGCTTTTATTAATTAGTTATACATAAAATTTAATGACAAACAAGTGACAGGTTAAAACGGTTTATCATGTTAACCTGACTTTACCAGTTATGTAACCGTTTAATAATCGTGGACGGGTTGAATAGTTTTTTATTGTGAAAATTTTAGATTCCAAAATTTTTTAAAATTTCAGTGGGGGCAGCTGCGCCCATGCTAAATCCACCACTGCAATTGGATATGGTTAATGTCTAAAATAAAAATTATATTAAATTACAAATTAATTAGATATTAAATAATTAAATATATGATAAAAATGAGTGATGTAATATTTTTGGGAAACTTTCAAACTCCTAAGTGTGTTATTATATAGATTTTGTGATTTGGCTCATTATCTATACTACTTATAAATGTCAACATGTGTGAAAAATTTTTGATTTCTTATTTTACCCTTAATTATTACTATAAAACTAATTATACCCACATATTTTTCTATCTTTCATACCTACTTGACTTTCAAAATATTAGCTAGATAAATTTTATCTCTATGACTTGATAAATAAACTTTATCAAAATATTACATAGATAAATTTTATCAAAATATTAGTCATATAAACTTTATCTTTATGACTTGATAGATAAATTTTATCTCTATGACAATACATTCTTTTTTTTTCATTCAATTGTACAAACTCTATTAGAATTCTAACACCATATATTGGTAATTTTTATGAGTCTAATACTAAGTAGGAAAGACAAAAAAAATATATGTATACATTTGCTTTCTTGTGAAATCCCCGTGAATCCTTTGGTTCGTGGGATTCATCAAAAACCCATAGATCATAGTAATTGTGTGCACCAATGAGATCATCTCCTCGAGAGCTGGTATATGTATATGTATATGTATTACCTAAAAAAATATATGTATATGTATTACCTAAATTATATGTGTTACCTAAAAATATATGTATATGTATTACCTAAAAAAATATATGTATATGTATTACCTAAAAATATATGTATACGTATTACCTAAAATATATGTATATATATTTTGAATTCCTTCATATATATATATATATATAGGATTCTAATACCACATGGGATCAAACTTTCCCGCAAAGTTATCGAATAAGTTTTTTCTTCTATTCACGTTAGAGTTAGAAGTTGCCCCGCCCTAGTCATTTATTTGAAGTCCTATAATCTCATGCTCTTCTATGACAAACTCAATGTAATCGAAGTTGAATTTTTCAACATAATTGAGGTTAGTTTAATAATTTATCTGTTTTAGTTTTTTAATTCTTATGTTCTGTGGTATTTAATTTTTCTTAATTTAATGTCAAACAGCTTTCTAAGATATTAGTGTGGCAGGTCAAGTATTCGATAGAATAATTGAGGTTAGTTTATTAATTCTTATGTTTTGGTTTATTAAATTGGTGTGGCATATCAAATATTCGACATAATTGAGGTTAGTTTATTAATTCTTATGTTTACGTTAAAAATTTTTATGTTTGTGTTTCTTTGTTTTATTACAACCTCTCATAAATCCAATTTTTCATTGCTCATATAGTTAATATTTTGAAAGCTTGTTCAAATCTCCTATAATATTGACCTAATTAATCTTAATTTTTGAATTGATAGTAAATTCTAACATTTATTGAGACCAACAATCAATACAATAATAAATAAATTAAATTCAACATTCTTGGATATTTTTATATGTACCATATTTTTGAGTATTTTTATCATTTATTAGATGAAATTTATCAAATTTTAAGGTTAAAAGATTAAGTGTCAATTTTCTTGGTATTTTAATTATTCATTTATCTTTACAAAAAATAATTCAATTTTATTACTCATCAACTTCATATTACAAATAAATTTAATAATAAATTAATAAACTAAATTTTTTTCACGTGCAACACCCCGTGTTCATTTCTAGTTTTAACTAAATGTCAAATAGCTAGCCCTCAAGATACTCGAAGAGTCTAATACCTTTACTCTTTGGGGGCGTTTGGATAGTGGGTTAAAGGTGGTTATTTACTAGTAGGATGAGTTAAAATAGGAGTGAGACCAAAAATCCCTTGTTTGGGAAGTCATTTTTTAGGTTGGGTATCAATCCCGGGTCAAGGCTTGACCCGATTGCTACGATACCCTTTAACCCTCCTAGGTCGATCACACTTAACCCACCCCTCCCATGGGTTACTCCCTACACAGACGTATTTGCCCCTCTTTCTCCACCCACTCACACTACTCACCACTGGGCAGCTTCTCCATCCTCCATCCTCCATCCTCCATCACTGCGAAACTCAAGGTGGAAAATTTTCAGAGTGAAGGATTCGAAAAACCATAGGTGGAAGACCATAAACCAAAGGAATATTAAACCTCTCTTTATCTCCATCCGCAGCTAGGGTGAGTTTCAACATTCAAAGCCCTAAGCTCTTTTTGCTGCAATACCCCACTCTCTCCTCTCGAAACTCCTTCACACCCACCATTTATTTCCACTCCAAGCTGTCAAAGGAAGGCTTTGTGTTGCTTCAATTTGCTCCTGTGGCTGCTATGCGACAATATGATTGGAGTAGAAAACAGGTGAAATTTGCTTCCTTTGATTCTGGAAGTGTGTGAGTGTGTGTATTGCAATTAGGTGTTATACCTTTGGGTTCACGTAGGAAGGGGTACCCAAATTAGTTGTTTTGGGGAAAAATTTGTTCTTTCGATAGTTTTAGCAAGGAAGTGAAGCAGTTTCAATTCTTTCTGGGAGTTTGGCACAATGTAATGTTGTGTTAGAAGTGCATTTTTTAGCTTTGATTGTGTGAATGAATTTACAAAATGTCATGTTCTGTTTAATATTTTCTATTGTCAGGTATTTTCTTTGTCAGTGACAGAAATGGGGACTCTGATTAACCTTGGTGCAAGGGATTCATGCTTATTTCACGAGTTTATGAATCAATTATATGCATGTATATGTGGGAAATGTATAATTTTATTAGGATAATTCACCAATCCAAACATAGGATAAGATTAGTTTGGATTGGAATGGATAGAGTTATGGGTATAATGGTAAATTATTACAAAATTATTTGTGTAATCTATGTGACCCATTGAATTACCCATTTGTTTCTCAAACAAAGGTTAGGATTGAATATATTTCGGGTGTGTTTGGGGAGCGGGATAAAGGGGGTTAACACCATAAGGATAGGTATATAAAGTAATGGGTCCCATTTATTCTGTGTTTGGAAAGTATTTTTTGATATAGGATAATAATCCCGGGTCAAGTGTTGACCCAGTTGCTATAGTAGTTTATAACCTCCCTACACAGGTTATAATTGACCCACTCCCCACATGGGTTACAAACTCAGTCAATGGGTTACTCGCCAACAAATGTATTTGCCCCTCTTTCTCCTGTCACTTGGTAATGATGAGACTGTGGGGCATATCGGAGGGGCGGTGGGACTGGTGTCGGTGGAAAGTAGTAATGGAAGTGGAGGTGGGGATGGAGTGAGGGGTTTTGGTTTACCGGTGATGGTGATGGCTGATGCGGGTGATGGGGATGGTGCGAGTCTTTTCTCTCAAGTTTCCTTGATCTTTTTGTTTTATATTTCTTAAACTTCTTGGCAACCATAAAGATGGTTGGGTCTTTTATTGATTGGATTTTCTATTTGCTTCACATATAGAATGGAAGATCCGGATGATGAGTGGGAATATACATCACCAGAAAGTGAAGGTAAAGTGAATTGGATCTCAGAGGTCTGGGGTTGGGAAAGAAGGTTGTGATCACAGCTATTGTGATCTCATCTTTACCAGTGGTTCTTCCTCCACTTTTGGTGATATCCACTCTTGGGTTTGCATTTTCGGTTCCATTTGGGGTTGTCTTTGCAACTTATGCTTGCACCGAGGATGTGTGTTTTGGAAAAGTTGTAACAGAAGATGAAGAAAAAGAAAAGACAGAGGATGCAAAGAAACAGTTAGAGATGAGGGTTGATTGTAGTAGAAGGAGTGATTGAATTGTTCCTTGCCAAACAACGGTTTGGATTGGATAGGAAACATAACCCATCCAGTTAAATGGTTTATTGGGTTTGGGTGGGATAGGTTAGGATACAAAAAATCATATCCTTTCCTATCCTTGCCGGTTATCCAAACGCACCCTTCAAGGTTGGGATTTTAAAGTGGATGAGTGGGTTTGACTTGGACGGGTTAGGATATAAAAAAAGTAATCCTACCCTATCAAATCCCATTACCCAAACACACCCTTTCGCTCTTTGTAGCGTGAAACCCATTCTCACGGAATCACAGACGAAGACATCTCTCTCTCTCCGACGAAGACATCTCTCATCGGCTCATTAGGTTTTCTTCCCTCTTTACTCCATGTCTCTGTATATTTTGTGTTTGTACTTTGTATGTAGATTGTGTTTGTATCTCTCACAGCCTCGATTCCCAGCCGAATCCTGATACTCTCAAGCCCTAAAACCCCTACTCTCAAGCCCTAATGCCCCTAATCTCAAGTTGTAATACCCAAATCTGACGAGTTAGGCTCTCTTTCTCCCCCCTTCGATTTCAGCCACAGATCTAAGAGTTCATGCTCTTAGATCACTAAATGTCATATTTTTGTGTTAGTTAGTAGGAATGCTTTTATTAATTAGTTATACATAAATTTTAATGACAAACAGGTGACAGGTTAAAACGGTTATCGTGTTAACCTGACTTTACCAGTTATGTAACCATTTAATAAATGAATCGTAGACGGGTTGAATAGTTTTTTATTGTGAAAATTGGAAGGAAGTCTCCCTTGATTAGGGCTGTTAAACGAGTCAAGTTTGAACATTTTTTTAAGCTCGTTTATGTGTAAATAGTCAAACAAGCCGGCTCATTTATGTGTAAATAGTCGAAGGTTTAGGCTCAAATTCAGCTCGATTATCACCCTTACCCTTGATGTACTTGTTTGGAGATAACTCCTGTAAGGAAACTTATAAGGGACTAAGTTCATATTTAAAATTATATGTAATGACTTAAGTCCACTTTTTTTTTTAATCTCAAAAAATACCCTTCCTTGAAAGGAAGTTAATCTTTTCTCTCTCATATCTATCTATATCTATATATAGGATAAAAGTTTGACTAATATTAAAATTTCTCTCTCTTATCTATCTATATCCATATATATATATATATATATATATATATATATATATATATATATATAAAATAACATTAAAAAAAAATAGTAATATTCAAATACAAAAAAAAAGTTACTATGAATTTGAATAGTAAAATTCAAATTCATGCTACTATTTTTTTTATTATGTTACTGCTTTTGTTGAGTATGTTACTGTTCATGTACTATTATTTTTAAGCATGTTATTGTTTTTGTTAACCATGTTACTACTATTATTTTCCTAAATATTAATATTCAATGTTACTATTTTTATTTTTTTTTTAATATTTCTATTTTTTGTATTTGAATGGTATTATTTTTTGTGTTTGAATTTGAGAGAAATAATTATTATTAAGTATGTTACAGTTTTTGTTAAGTATGTTAATTTTTTTGTTGAATATGTTAATATTTTTGTTGAACATGTTACTGTTGTTATTTTTTAAAAATATTAATATTGAATGTTTCAATTTTTTTAATGTTTAAATGTTACTATTTTTGTGTGTTTAAATGTATAATTTTTTGTGTCTAAATGATAACTTTTTTTTGTATTTGAATGTTACTATTTTTTATTTTTAATGTTATATATATATATAGATAAAAGAGAGAAAAAATTTTAATGTTAGTTAAACTCTTAACCTATATATGGATATAGATAGATATGAGAAAGAAAAAATTTTAATGTTAGTCAAACTCATAAAATTTAGGAGTTTTTAATTTTTAGTATTATTTCACTTCTAAAGGGAAGGGATAGTATGGTAAAATTGAAAAAATATGGACTTCATAACAAATAAGTTTTTTTGACGGACTTAAGTCCAAACAAGTTCATATAGAGGGACCGACCTCCAAATTTGAACCTGTTAAGACCCAACATGTATTCACATAATCCGCCACGATTGACATACTAGGTGTCACTAATATTAAGTCACGGATATAATCTCCTTACACGTGTTGTGTATCGGCAGTGGACGAAGTCTTGTGCACTGGATTGACTTTTTTGTTTTCCTTTCAAGTTGGTTATGGAACTAGGTACCATAACATTGTGTTGTCTGTTGCCCTATATATCCACACAGAAGTACTGTTTTAGGTTAATGTGTTATTATCTATTAGTCACATCTTTTACACTTGACAGAAGAGTGATGCCACTTTCTTGGAAGGCTTGGGGCTGCTTGGGGATCCCAAGAAATAAGTCAGCTTGGAACGGATTGGTTTGTTTTTTGTGGATGTGTGAGTGATTGCATCATTTATCTTTTGATTTTTCAAATCTAGGCAGACAATAAGTGTGAGTGAATTTTTGTGAACTAAGTAAATATTGGTCTTCCTATCAGTGAACCACTTCTTGGGATTTCCAAACTGCACTGTAGGGCACAGAGTGCCATGATTTCTATTTTTTCCCCATTCTTTATTCTGTCTAACTTGTTTGTAAACCTGGCTTTACATTTGTTTTGCAGAATGGGAAGCGAAGAAGGCAAGTTGAAATCTGAACTGCAGGATGAGGTTTTCAAGATTTTTTCTGGTTTTATGATTTGGTAAATTTAAAACCCTAACTCCCAGTTCTTTTGATTTTGGTGTTAGCAGATGGACCGCAAAAATTACATAGGGATTTGTTGTAACTTTTTTTGCCCTGGTAGGGTCAATCCCCTACCACTTTCCAAAAAAAGTGCCAATTGAAAATGAAAAAAAAAAGTACCCAACCTAAACCAGTGCCAACATTGTGTCGAAATCGAAAAGAAAGAAATGTTTGGCTTCGGAGATCCACAAGAAGGATCATGGGTGCATATATCAAACCCACTTATTTGCCTGCTTTAGTCATTGCAATTCCTAAGGATGGACACAATCATATATATTTAATTGTATTTCCTTGGTCAAATGTTTATCATAAATGGTTTTCATGATGGCCTGATTGGACAGACACATTGAGGATATATTTATATCCCATGTAAGAGTGAATTGCATATGACTGCTAATGGTGCAAAACCCAAGGTTGCCTTATCTCACTTCACTTTCTCAGTTGATGCTTGGTTGTTTCAGTATGTTCTATTCACTCTAGGATGATTGTGAAAACAGGAACAAGACTTTACAAATACTTTGTTTTTTCACACTGAATGCAGATTTCACACATTTGGTTGAAAAATTGGGGATACATTTTGGATATAGTATTGTGATGGTGGCAAATGCCAATCAAAACATGTTCTGAATGTGCAGATCAATTGTGTGATTCCAGTGGAGTCTAAGTTCCACTAGCTTGACAATGCTTACTCAATCTTGACAGTCTGTATGCATTTTATCATGATTGCAGTATTATTTTGACAAAAAATTCTGTACCTTTGATATTTTAAATTATCTGTGAATTTATATCATCTTATGATGGTCCTTTCATTATAGGGTCACAAAATTGGAGGAGCTAATGTCTGTTGGAAGTAGTTTACTTGTTGGCTTTCAGCAAGGGCTTGGTAAGTGTTTCCACATATCTGTTTGCACTAGTTACAAGTATTGGGATGACGTTCACTGCTCTTTGTTAGTGAGCTTGATTGCCCTGATATTTTTTGTGCAGATTTTCTTCGACGGCCTCCAATTGACAGGACATCTGAATTGGTCAAGCGAATCATCAAAGCTAATGAAACCAAGAGGGTTTCATCCTATGTTGAGGCTGGATGTGTAAGCACTGATGATAGTAAACAAAATATAAGCAAGTGTAAGTGTGTTTGAATTTTTATTCTTGGTTACATAGCTTTGGAACAGTGGAGATCTAAGTTCTTCAGTGAACCATGTTGGCTGATGATTGTCTATAAACATTTAGAATAAAACATAGTTTCTTTTATCTCCTGACCTATGATTTAGAACATGTAAAAGATCCATAGGCTCTTCTGCTTTCTTTATACTACTGGACTCAAATTCTGAGCTCTTATTTGTTGCTCTATGTTTGCATTAGTCGTTTCCATTCGAAACTTTTGGCGGCAATATTGATATGATCAGCTCTGTTGGCCCTGCCGGTTAAAATTTTTGGTTGGTGTCACCTTTTCTGGTTTTATTGGACTGTATGTGATTGACCATTAGAAAATATCTGTGTGATCAGTTAGTTGTGAACCCTCTATGCTTGTTAAGTAGCAGAATTTACATTGCAAAGTGTCTCCATATTTGACCAGTTTCATGTTGATTAAACAACGATTCATAACTTACTGTTACTGCAATTGGGTCATCATATCCTCTAGAGTTGAATATAAAACCTCAATATTTCCAATTTTCTCTTCCAAAAACTTATTGGTCTTACTTAATTTTTTTTTGCTTTTTCTTCTTGATGTGCGTATAGAAGTATATAGATGCCAACTCGGGCTTTGGAAGCATGTAAATGAAGGTACTAGCAATTCCCTTCAATATTATTATCCTCTTTTGAGTTCTACGTTTAATTTGAGTGGATTTTTTTTTCCCAAAAAGTCATGAGAAACTGTAACCCATCCACAAATATATCAAATTTTTCTATTTGTAGAATAGATTTTAGCTTTTCGAGTTGCACACGTGATCTCTATCATTTGGGTCTTGATATATATTTGTTACTGTACTGTTTTTAGAAACTTGATTGCAAATATCTATTTCTCATGCTTAAAATTTGCTAAATTCTTAATTGAATGTGATTATTAATTGCAGCCGAATGTGTAATGGAGGAACTTAAATGCCTTCTGGAGAACGCAACGGTTGCAATGCAAAAAGCTAGTGAAAGTTCACCACTTTTGCAGGATAAAGATACTGGTGATGAGTCTGATCCCCTAGCAACTACTAATTACAAGGTAGTGTCTTGTTTAGATTGATCAATTTTTGTCCAGCTCACATTCTTTGAACTGCTTGCTTCTTTTAGTTATTTCAAATAAGTTGTAACACAATGTTGTGTGGAAATTTATGTGGCATCTATTTGTCTTGCGTGTTTCTTCTTTTCTTGTGCTCATTTCTTTTTGGGGTTTTGTCCCTGCAAAAATGGTTTTTAATTCTTAGTTTATAAGCGTGTATCAGAGAGACATTATATTCAATATGTCCGCAATCCACATATATTTCTCTGTAACCTGGAGGACTTGGAATGATCTGTGTGGTGGTTGTTGATTCAGATGTTTTAAAGAGAGATTTTTAAAGGTGATTGTTCACTAAGATGCTTTCCAATCCATTTGACTCGGTTTCCCCAAGTCTGTACAGTTGAGATATTTGAACTGATGCCTGGACGGCCCTTGATGATTTCTTGAAAAGTTTAAATGACTTGTGATTATCATCTTGATGATCTTCCTGCTTATCCAAGTCTATAATAAATTTCATTTGTGCTTTACAAGCTTTAGAGGAACATTTTATTAATCTGACCCAAAGTTTATAAACATACCCATACTTTGTTGGTATGCCATGCTCTTCAATATTATCTTGGCTAGACCAGATACCCGTGGGTGGTGCCCTAGCTATTGTGCTCTGTTCTCAGTTGGGGAACAAGATGAAGCATGATAAATGATATAAAACCAATGACATGGCGTAATTTGTCAGTTGCAACGTGTATTGTTCATCTAGGTGTTCCTGGAATCCTGGACATGGATGGAATATATGCAATGTATGCTGCATGGGGCGCCCTGTTGGTTGGGGATTCCTTGAGTCCTTTCTGCCTTAGATTGCTTTTTTTTTTTTTTTTCCTTTTTCTAAATTGCCTTCTGTGTCTTGGTTTCCAATTGGGTTTTATTGATTTTCATTTTGGAATATAGTTTTTGTCATCTTTGTATGTGAATTATGTAATGATTTTGTATTGTACATTTAATCTAGGAGCAAAAACCTGAAGTTACCGATTATGCTGCCATGATGGCTATTCTATACAGTATGGTTAAGCAAGACTGCATAATGCAGGTAATTAGCTTCTCATCCCCTATACACAATGCAGGAACAATTCTTGGCCCAGTTGTGATATTTTTATTTTCTAAGAATTGTTCCTGTGTTGTGTATGCATTATCTGGTGGAAATGTTAACATTCTATATCATTTGAGTTTGTTCATCTGTGATCAACTTGATTTCTCAGTCATCAACATTTTACCTTGTTGCAGGAAAAAATTGTTACATCTCTTAGTCTCAAGTCATCATCAGAAGAGCTGGAGAGCTACTGCCTGATGTGGTCTCTGCGCCCTTTCGTAGACGATGAAATTATGTGTGAAGCTTGGAAACTTCTTCCCTGACTATCCCAGTGTACTGTCCTAAGTAATGCAGATATATTTTTTTGTTTTACTTCAACACAACCTTATTACCTACATGATAAGTGTCCACTACTCTAATCTAAACTGCTGATGAGTTATGATCAATCGATGGTGCTGTGCTGGGGAAGTTTTGATGATGATGCAGTTTTAGCACCAATTTCCTGCTATTCTTACAAACCTCCACAAGCAGCCATACTAAACTCACGCGACTGTAAATGCGTGGGATGTTGAAAAGCTTGAAGATTTGGAGCTTTGGTCTCGCCCTTCGTAAGTTCATGTTCATGGCTTACTATCAGAACTACCTCCTTGGGTCTATGCAACGCCAAAACGTGGAGACTCGTAAATCAGCGATGGTAGAGCTCAGTCTTAACTCTACTATTTCATGACAATTAGCATTAAGATTTTGAATGAGTTGATTATCCAGATAAAACCACGTCAAATACAACTTTTGCATAGCAACAAAAAAAAAAACTTTAGTTAATTAGGCTAGGGTCTTTTAGTTAGTGTGTAAATAAATTTTAGTCCTACCGGATTTTTAATATATAAAAAAATCCGCAATGTTTTAAAAAAATTACATGCAGTTTATGGTGCGAATGTATATGGGTAGTTAGTGTGTTTTTATTACTTATTTTGTCCCATCACATGATTTCAGTTTNGGGTTTTATTGATTTTCATTTTGGAATATAGTTTTTGTCATCTTTGTATGTGAATTATGTAATGATTTTGTATTGTACATTTAATCTAGGAGCAAAAACCTGAAGTTACCGATTATGCTGCCATGATGGCTATTCTATACAGTATGGTTAAGCAAGACTGCATAATGCAGGTAATTAGCTTCTCATCCCCTATACACAATGCAGGAACAATTCTTGGCCCAGTTGTGATATTTTTATTTTCTAAGAATTGTTCCTGTGTTGTGTATGCATTATCTGGTGGAAATGTTAACATTCTATATCATTTGAGTTTGTTCATCTGTGATCAACTTGATTTCTCAGTCATCAACATTTTACCTTGTTGCAGGAAAAAATTGTTACATCTCTTAGTCTCAAGTCATCATCAGAAGAGCTGGAGAGCTACTGCCTGATGTGGTCTCTGCGCCCTTTCGTAGACGATGAAATTATGTGTGAAGCTTGGAAACTTCTTCCCTGACTATCCCAGTGTACTGTCCTAAGTAATGCAGATATATTTTTTTGTTTTACTTCAACACAACCTTATTACCTACATGATAAGTGTCCACTACTCTAATCTAAACTGCTGATGAGTTATGATCAATCGATGGTGCTGTGCTGGGGAAGTTTTGATGATGATGCAGTTTTAGCACCAATTTCCTGCTATTCTTACAAACCTCCACAAGCAGCCATACTAAACTCACGCGACTGTAAATGCGTGGGATGTTGAAAAGCTTGAAGATTTGGAGCTTTGGTCTCGCCCTTCGTAAGTTCATGTTCATGGCTTACTATCAGAACTACCTCCTTGGGTCTATGCAACGCCAAAACGTGGAGACTCGTAAATCAGCGATGGTAGAGCTCAGTCTTAACTCTACTATTTCATGACAATTAGCATTAAGATTTTGAATGAGTTGATTATCCAGATAAAACCACGTCAAATACAACTTTTGCATAGCAACAAAAAAAAAAACTTTAGTTAATTAGGCTAGGGTCTTTTAGTTAGTGTGTAAATAAATTTTAGTCCTACCGGATTTTTAATATATAAAAAAATCCGCAATGTTTTAAAAAAATTACATGCAGTTTATGGTGCGAATGTATATGGGTAGTTAGTGTGTTTTTATTACTTATTTTGTCCCATCACATGATTTCAGTTTCAAAAATAATAATAATAATTATTATTATTATTATTTGCGTTTTATTATTGAGAATTAGCATTATCAATTGAAAATAACAATTTAAATTTGACTAATCAAATTGGTTACAAAGGTTATCGTGGTCTAAGTTTATGGATAGATTCGGTCAATAAAAGTCCCTCAGCTACACTGCTTGCTTTCTTGTAATGCTTTCAAATAACAAATGCTAATCCGCAAGCACCGAACCATATTGATAGGCCTTTTGTCGGGTAACGTAACGTGGACAATGTCTATTTACGCAGCATCCATATAAAACTCAATTCCATGACCTAAAAAAAATATCTGTCTATATATTTATATAATAAAATAGTTTATAATTTAAATTTTAAAATATAAACAAAATGACTTTTGTTTTTCGCGGTTCAAATCGCTTTAAATTTTATTTTAAAATTAATCTAACGGTTAATATTAACATCTTAAATTTAATAGGAAAATAAACTTCTAAGAGTGTGTTTGAGATGATTTTTCAAAACTACTTTTACGAATTATTTTTCATAAGTATTTTAAAAAAAATAATATTTGAAATCATTCCACCATCACCCTCACCACCACCATCGCCAAGGTCGCCGCCACCCCCCACCATTGCCACCAACGCCACCGCCAGAGCCGTCGCCACTGCCAGCACTGTCGCCACTACCACCAGCGCAACCATGGTCATTGCCACCCACTACAACCATCACCATCTCCTGCCACCACCTCTCACCTCTTCTATAATTGATGCTTAAATTCATTTATCTCTCTTCTATGTTTGTAATTTGATTTTGGATATGAATGTAAATATGTTTATTATTTATCATTTTTTATTACTTTATGCCTTCAGGCACAGACTATAACTAGTATATATATAAACCTTAATTCGACAAAAATTAGGATATAAGGGAGTATTTAGAGGCAACCAAGCCATCTAAATTATGGCATCCATCGAACACAATCTAGTGTTAGAGCTCGTGACTCCTCTGTAGCAAGGAAGAAATATCGCCATTTGGCCGACCATGAACAAATGTAAATACTCCGAGTAATGGCGATATCACATATTCATTGTTTCATCAATTAATCTATCTTTATGTTACAGTTAGTAATAATTTAAATTGCACATATATAAAAATACAATAACAGTTGAGATTTTAATTCAATGTTTATTTAGTTTTATCTACTGGTACAGAATTCATTCTAAATATTTTTTTTCGCTTGAAAACTTTGTTTTCTCTGTACGTTTTAGTTTTAAATTGTGTAATTAATAATAAAAATTTATTATATAAAATATAAATATTGTATAAAAATTATACTCGATTTTTAGTTGTTTCTAACCACAAGGTTAGATTAGTACTAGTTATAAAATACCACATAAACTAACTTAATAAATTTCTCTAATCCAATGCGATAATTATTCAATTAAGTGGAGATAAGACTAATAATCGAATCGAGTTTTGTAAGCTCGTTTTTCTAAACGAGTCTAAAAAATTATTCAAGCTCGACTCATTTTTTTGAGTTCAAATAACTCGATTATTTTACATATAAACGAACCAAGCTTTTTAAGATTATTTTTCTAAATAAGACTACAAAATTATTCAAGTTCAACTCGTTTAAAAATGAACCGAACTCAAATCAAACTCTATATGAGTTGAATCCAAACTTAGCCAAGTAATTTGACTCAATTATCAACCGTGAAGACCTATATGATGATTTTGTGGTGGTATTGTGTTGGATAGAGTATTCTATTACACTTTTTTTGGGGAAGGTAGTATAGAATTAGGGTGAGATTATTTTTTCACCACAAATCTCCGTTCTTACCCCATTAAATTTTAAATCATAAAATTATTTTTTTTAATCAAAAATTGTAAAAATATTAAGTTCACAATTTTTATATTCACCCCCACTAGTAACTAAGTCCACCTCATTCTATATCCACCTCCACTAATTATTAAATTCATCTCAATTTTTTTTTAAATTTTCTTTTTATACTCTATATCACACAATTTATACAAAAAAGTAATTAACTTGATTATTTAGTATTGATCTCTCAAGTGATATTCAAATTGGTATTAAATGTTACCCAAAAAAAACATATAAGCCTTTCACTCCAATCATTCTATGTGAATTTATCTTCTAAAAAACACAATAAGTTAAGTTGGTATATTTTTATTTATACGCATACGCGCATACACACACATACATTTATGTATTTAACACTATTTTTTTTATAAACCTTGTGGGTATCAAACACGTTAATTATACGAAGAGCAAATATGTGGGTATCATTACAATAAACTCCTTCCTCAGCGATAGCCTCTTCCGTGTTTAATAGAAGACTCACCATCTGATGAACAAGTTCTCATCGTCAATAACTACAATTCCACGACAAGTGAGAAACACTGTAAAAGTTGAACTAATAATTAGGAAAGATATAAATCATAGAGTAATACTATTTGAACTTAAAAATTTGATCTAATTTGTTGACATAATAATGTGATTTCAGTAGAGCCATTGGATCAACACCAAATTCCAATATTTGATGGGTCTTACAATTAATCCAAAAGTCATAGTGAATTAGGTTAATAAATTAAGTTCCAATAGCATTACTCATCAATTTGAGAGATCTATAGTGGATAATCAATTTGAGTATATTTTCGTATAGACTGTGTGAGATAGAGTATAAAAAAAACCGTAATGTGACAATTAAGATGAGGTGAATTTAATTACTAATGGAGTGGATATAGATAAGAATGTTGATCGAGATGAACTAATCAGGTTCGATTTGGATAAGACACGACTAAAGCTCGACTCGTGTTCTAAACGAATTGAATTTGAATAATTTTTTAGATTCGTTTAAAAAAATGAGTTTTAAATACTCAGTTTAAACTCGCAAAACTCGACTCGTTTATATATAAAAGAATTAAGTTATTCGGGTTCGACCATGGTTCAGACTCAACTCTGAGTTCTAAATAAGTTAAATTTAAATATTTTTTTAGACTCTTTTAAAAAAATGAATTTGGCATGTTCAGGTTTAAACTCGTAAAGTTCGATTCGATTAACAATTCTAAGTATAGAAATGATCTATTTAATAGTTTTACGATTTAGATTTTAATAGAGTTGGAATTGAGATTTATGGGCCCATAGAATTATCAGTGCTACACTATATAAAAGCCAATCGAAGATGATTGATTATTCGAGAGCCAAACACAATTGTGAATGTAATTGTAAAGGGCTCCTTCCATCATCAACTAATCGGACCAGAGTAGTTGTGTTTTCTGTGGAGAAATCCCAAAAAGTGCCTACACAAAGACTTGGGTTTAGTAATTTTTCTCTGTTTTGAGAAGGTTTCAGTTTTCAACATAGTCCCAGTTCAACCGAAAAAAAATTTCGACATCGAAAAGGAAAGCAAATGCCAGGGCCACATAGATCTTCGACCTCTTCATTCAAGAATGGTCTACCTCCTCAAGAACTCCTCCACGATCTCTGCAGGTCCCCCCCTATTCCTCAATCTCTCTCTCAGTATGAAATATATGTGTATATATATATGAACATGGATATGTAAATGTATAGACTTGGTACTCAAAATGAAAGCGTATTATGGGTATTCGGTTGTGATGGTTTTGGAGGTTTTACAATCTTATGTGTGTGGAATTAACTAAAATTTGATGTGGGTTATTTGTTTTTGCTTTTAGTTAATTCAATTAGGGTTTTATAGTTTTCTTGTGACAGTGTTTATGTTCTACGCATATCAGTTATAAAGCTCTTAAGGGTTTTTGAAAAATAAAAGGGTAAATTAAAATTATTTTGTTGTTAAAGCATTCTTGGAGCAGCATTTTATTTTTCTGTTTCCCTGTTTCTTTCCCAAGAAGTAAAAGTTCCAAGCTCATACTGCTACTAACTAAGAAACAAGGATAAGAATGGGGCGTGGATAGGACATGGCAGACACCGATGCGAGATTTTGCAAGAAAGTGGGACACTGACAAGATAAGGATGTGAGATTCTATATATTAGTGAACCCCTACGCACGGTTACCGTGTGCGTCACTGTAATGAGATGTGTGAGTGAGAAGAGATATGAGATTAATGAGGGGTTAAGCTTAGTTGAGTGCAGTTTAAAAGGAAATTATGTGTGGTTAAAGTGAAAGAAAGAAAGGGTGTTTTGGATATTTCATGAGTGGACACCAAACCTCACCCTCTCCCTTTACAAATAGTGTAGATATGCCCGTGCACACATACACACTCACAATATAATTTCAAAATCAACAGAACCAAATCAAGATAATAAAACAGAAAAAATTGAGGTGGTGGCTGCCAGAAGATGACCGATGTCGTAAAATTTCATGGTCATGGGAGATAGCATTTCTTGTTTCCTCATTTTCTCTTTTCCTATATTTATTCTTTTTACTTTTTTTAGATCTAATAGTCGTAAAGTGTTATCTCTGCCTCCTTATCCTCCACCCTTTGTAAGTATTTATTATAATTTTTTACCAGGGTATTTGTGATTCATGCTTGACCCCATATATGTCCCCTGAAGTAAGAAAATGTACCCTAAATGTGTCTCCAGTGAGTTCCAAAGTATCCGAAATTAAAAAATATTGGATACTTTCACACGTCACAGTGTGTTCAAGTTCCAAATGTGTCCGGTGCTGTTATTCAAGCCTGGTAGAGGTGTTTGAGTTTGCTAATGCTTCCTCTAGAGTCTAGTAACACAGAATCTGGACTTTGGAATTAGCATTGCAATATGATAAACATCAATTTCAACTTTTCAAGTTTGAATGGATGAGGTCCTCAATTGCAATTCCAAGCCACTAATTCCATGCTCATGAAAACAGCAGTGGTTCCCCCCCCTTAATTCCCTAATGTTATGCTGTCAAAAGTAGCATTGCTCTATGGACCATATTCTTTAGCATAAAGGAATTGCAAAAAACTGTATCTTTTACCTTACTACATACCATTCTGCAATTATATTGCGTACAAGTCGTCAATGTCTTATAATCAAATGGACATCAAAGTACTACTCACCTTGGGTAATTTTGCCTTTGTGACTGTTGAATGCTTCAGATCTGCATGTTGTGCTCTTGTGCAAGCGTTGATGACAGTTTGTTTCTTATGGTTTCTTCTGTATTGTTTATATTTAGGAAGCTTGTGTTCCTTGTTTCCTCTTACATATACATTTGGTAAATTCTTATTTCTCTGGTCTTGAATTCTGTTTTTTAATGTCTGCTTATCATGATTTATATTGATTTCTCTTCTATTATTATGTAGTCGGTTTGTTCTAAATGTGCCAAAAGAAGATCTCCAATCATTTGAGAGGATCTTGTTTCTTGTGGAGTATGCACATTGGTTCTATGAGGACAATTCCATGGAAAATAACCCATCATTGAAGTCACTCACTTTGAAGGAATTTACTTCCTTAAGTATCCTTTTCACCTTCTTTTGTCTATTGCGCCTTTGTTTAAACATGGAGCACAATTTGATAATCTCTTTGGCCTCTAATCTTTGATGTTGGTGTATGAATGCCTATCTTTTTTCCTTTCTGACTGACCCTCATTTTACTGCTGGCATTGCTGGAATTAATATACACTGACATACACACTTGATCTACCTTGTGCCGTGGTTTTCTTTCAATATACTAAAGAAATCATGCACTTGAGTCCAATGTATTGTAGAATGCAAATATGGCTTCTTGTAGGGCATATATCAGTTACTTCATCATTTTCTCATATCAGATGTGCGCCTGGTTTACCTTAATTTTCTTTAGTGTTCAACAGTTGCGATGTTTTAAGACCCTATGTTACTCATCTAGACGATATATTTAAGGACTTCACTGCATACAAGGTTCAAGTTCCTGTAAGTGGGGCCATCATATTGGATGAAACTTATGATCGGGTAAGGTCTATTCTGGATGGTAGGTAGTAGCTACTACTCTTTGGTTCATATTGCCAAAATCTTGCTTAAATGATAAGCAATCTCATTATGGCTCAATGTAGCTTCTTAATAGTGATCATATAATGTTTTCAACGGTGTAGAAGCTTTTCTGTCAATTTGAAACTTCTTTAAGTGTTACGATATACACAGGCCAGCCGCCTGCGATGCTGCTAGCTCATGGACTTCCCCAATGCTGCACTTATATCCCTTCGTAGATGCAATATCAAATTAGAAGGAAAAAGGGAAAGCTGCTAAATTTCCTTTTCAGTGACATTTTTCAATTTGTAATGTCCCTTGCTTAGGCTTAAGATGAGGATTTGATTTGGGCTTAAACCTCCAAATATTTGGTTAGATAGAGCCCTGCCAAAATAGGTGTTATTTTTCAAATTCATCTTCCGTATAGAAAGTGTTGGTCTGATACCCTTAACAGAGTTGAGAGTGTAAGAGCCATTGACACCTGAAATATCATGCATCTCTCTCTCTCACTCACACACACAAAAACACACACACACAGATGGATTAGATGACTTCTAAGGAACTCGTAACCAGGTTAAAGAATACTAAATAGCTCTAAACCAGTGTTTGGAAATCGGAATAATCCTATCTTTGTTAATTTCCAGTCTAAAGTTATAAAGTAGTGTCCATTAGTCTGACTTTGCGTCATACTGCAGGTTTGTGCCTAGTTATACTAAGGAAAACTTCTTTTCCCAGTTGGCATTAAAGTTGCACCTAGTTCAATTGGAAATAACCCGTCTCTCTATCTCTCCCCACTACCACCCATTTGCACGCCGGGGTGCAATGTATTACCTGAAAACTTCCGTCCAGCAAAGGAGTGACAAAAAATTTCTAGACAATTATACATCCACATATGTAAAGTTTTGTATACTTTTTGAGATATATGAATGCCTTCATTTTTTGTTTCTGATAGGCTAAATATGTCAAGAAGAATTATTTTAGTAAGTATTTTGCAAAGCAATCTGCACAACTGGCATTCATGCATAATTATACGTTCAATTAGCTGAACCCTGACCTACAACCAAGCATGAGAAGAGAGATTACATTGTATATAACGTATATGTTATTACGAAGAATATGTTTCTTATATGAGGAGAGTAATGTTATCAACATAAGTTATTATTTAAAGGCTTATTGATCCTAGATGTAAGTGCCAGGATGCTGACTCTATTAGACTCTTTATTAAATAACTTCTGTAAATATTAAGACATACATTAGAACAATATTTATCTAACCATGATGCATAGTTTTCAGTTCCCATTTGACAAATGATCTTACCTGTTTTTGATTCTTAATTATATGTGCAATTTTCAGTGCTTACTAGTGAAAGGATGGAAGGGAACAAGCTGGAGTTTTCCCCGTGGGAAGAAGAACAAAGATGAGGAAGACCATGAATGTGCCATTAGAGAAGTACATATTCTTGTTTCTATTGCATTTCATAAATGTTATTATTTGTTCACAGTAATTAGCAATTTTTCCACATTTAGCTATCTAGAAAAATAGCAATTCTTCTTTGATTTTAGGCCAAAGTGTTTTGGCAATGTTTTTTGTTTGTTAATGCTTGTGCTTCTTTAGGTTTAGGCCATACAAAGATAATGGGCCTTGACGTAGTGGTATCCATTGTGAACTGGGCGTCAATGGTCCGATTCACAAAAATAGTCTCTCTGTATGCCGGTGTTAGACTGCGTTCAACTAATCTTTTCAAGGCCCCATAGTGGTGGGAGCCTTATGCACTTTTACTAGCTTTGGGCCATACAAAGTAGATATTTCTTTGTTAAGTCGATGCAGTAAGTAACATCTTATTCGAATTGCACATCTGTTTTGTTGTTGGCAACAAAAGTACTTCCTGATGTAGATCGTATTAGCTCTGATACCAAATTGATGTAGATTGTACTAGGAAAGAATTAGGAATTAAAAGGGAAGGAGAAGAGAAGAAGAAGGGGATGAGAAAAGAAGAAGAAGAAGGGGATGATGACAGAGAGAGAATTTGAGGAAGAAACAATATCAGGATTCAATATCAATAATCAATAATTATCAAAGTCTAATATAAATAAAACCTTTACATGCATCCCTTTATATAGGAAAACTAAAATCCTAAAACAAATAAATAATGACAAATAAACTCTCATAAGTTAAAAGAAATTACTTAAAAGATAAATATTAAAAGTATCTAAATAACTATCATAATTAATGTATAATATCTATTCAATTCCTACATGATCTCCATCATTCTATTCCGGTTGAGAAAAATTCTCCTCCGGAGATTCTTCAAAGTAGTACCCTAAGAGAGCAGCATGAAGACAATAGAACGTCTTATTTAGAATGAAAGAACTATCAATATCTTTTCATCGATCAAAATAAATGCAAGAATTTCCATCTATAGCAATGTAAATTTGGTCACGTAGTACATCATCTATTTGGCCTGAAATATGTGATAGAAGTGGACAGATAAGAATTGGAGCTTGTGCTAAGGAAGAAGTAATTACATCTGTAGCAACACTGGATAACAAAATAAGAGGTTTTGGAGTACATCGATTAAGTAGCATGTCCTCCAAATAAAAATTTGGACTAATACTAACATGTAATAAAGAATTAAACAAATAAGCATTAGATTCAAATTCAAAAATAGCAAAATAATTCCCATTAGATTTGAACAAAAGACATTCGGTGGGACAGGACAGGACATCAATGACAATGGAGTAACTATAACACCCTGTTGTTGAAAATAAGAAAGTATAGACTCAATTGAACACTTGTCAGTAGGCAAAGAAACAAAGTTTACACTTTTAATTGGGACAGAATCCAGAACATTGTCAACAATCTCAAGTGGAGAAGAATTCACAACAATGCCATTATGATTCGGAATAGTAGACAGAGAATAATTGTCAACATATTCTAAAATAGATAGCTTAATATGTTCAACATCTTGCATAGAAACTAACTGAATAGATTTTTTCTCAAATTCAATGATTAATAATGATTCAACTTTTGGTTCCGATGAGGTAGGAAACATGATAAGATAAAAAATAATCTCATCACTAGTATTAAAATTTAAACGATTGAAAATATGTTTTGAAGGATGGAAAGTATGAAGGTCCAACGGAACAAAAATATGGTTATCATTATGCGGGTGTCTGACATTAGGTGCAACTAGAGACTTGTCCTTATTTTCTTCCATTTGTTGACTTGCAAGAATTTTAGTCAAGTGAAAAAGTTGAGTTGTTAATTTAGATAATTAATTTTTTATCCCTATACATTCTTCGCGTAATTGGCCGAGTGAATATTTAGTATTGACAACTCCAATTTCAAAGATTTCAACCTTTTTCTCTAGGGTAGTTTGGATTTTTGAATGGTCACTAATGACATTGAAGATAGATCTAAATTGACCTTGATGATGACTTTGGGAAGCATGACGTTGGTAACTGTTATGTGACCTAAGTGTCTCAGAGTAATATTCTAGATAATCTTTATAATAAAACTCAAACTTACTATAGACTTTATGATGACTCTGAGAAACTCTAGGAGTGGAATAGGTATAGTGATGACGTTGTGGAGAACTGTGAACTTGAGACATTCTTAATGTTGGATAAGTATATGAATATGCATCATAATGATCATATGACCTCATGATTGACTTTGAAAGATGAGAATAACATAAAAATGAGTTCAAGAATACAATTAATAATTACAAGAAGTGAGAAAACTTAAATAGAAGAAAATATGTTTTGGACCCTTTTCAAATTCTCTAATTGTTCAATGAATAAAAATATTAGTCTCAAATTTTTATGGGGGTATACATACCATAATTAAGAGAAAATTCTAAAATTTTTGGGAGATGATTTTGTAATTTTTGAAACTTTTGGAGCGATACTTTTGTAATTTTTTGGGATTTTTGGGAGTGATTCTGTAATTTTTTGGATCTGTAGGGGATGTTTCTGTAATTTTGGAATTTTTGGGTTGTTTTTAAAATTTTTAGAACTTTTGAGGATGTTTCTGCAATTTTTTGAATCTGCTGGGGAGGTTATTGCAATTCTAGAGTTTTAGATGGTATTTCTACAATTTGCTTAAACTTATGGGAGTTGAATCAGGAGGTTATCTTCTTCGCAATGCTTAAGGGTTACACTGTAACCCTAGCCTTCACAAATCTGTAGATAGGGCAAGAGGTATTACTTGTGACAGTGCGAAAATGACAAAATATCGTATAGATTTTGTTCAATCTGCACTGAAGCACAACAACAACGATGGCGCTCGAAAAGTAGTGGCAACAACTTCAATGGTTGCTGACAATTGTCGACGAGATCAACCCAGCTCCTATATGTTCCACTGGTGCACAAATTACTTTAGCTGATGAATATAAACAGTGATAAAGGATGAGAACGAGTCTAGATGTTCATAAACTTTGAACCAGTTCAGGTGGGTTCCAAGCAAGTATATGATGATGGTCAGCAATGTTCACAATAAAGATGGCGATGACGAGACCTCGTAACAGTATGACTGATGAAGACAAGGGGCAGCGATGACTAGTTAGCGATGAAATTGATCCTGAGTCAACAAGAGCAACAAGGGGCAGCGATGAAAAACAGTCGCAATGAGTAGTCACGATGAACAGTGAACAGTACACGATGAACAGTTTTTTTTTTTTTTTGTATGAATTAAAGTTGGGCTCTAATACCAAATTGATGCAGATCGTATTAGCTCTGATACCAAATTGAAGTAGATCGTAATAGAGAAGAATTAGGAATGAAAAAGGAGATGAGAAAAGAAGAAGATGGAATGAGGATGGAGAGAGAATTTGAAGAAAAAACAATATCAGGATTTAATATCGGTAATCAATAATTATCAAATTCTAATCTAAATAAAACCTTTACATGCATCCCTTTATATAGGAAAACTAAAACCCTAAAACAAATAAATAATGACAAATAAACTCTCATAAGTGAAAAGAAATTACTTAAAAGATAAATATTAATAATATCTAAATAACTACCGTAATTAATCTATAATACCTATCCAATTCCTACACGATCCCCATCACTTCCAGTTGGACAAATTACAAATATGTTTGACTAGGTCAGTTTCTTTTACAAGTCTATCCTTAGCACAATCAATCACTGGTTTAGTAGAAGGCGTAACTATCATGTATTACTTGATTTGGAGAGCTGCTTACTCAATTGCACACATGGTTCATGGTTGTGGTTTTGACCATGGACTCAAAGAGCTCTGAGATATATTAGTCATGGTGTTATGTCATGGTATTGGGTAATACAACCTTAAAAAAGAAGTTGAACATGACAAGACATCTAGACCATATTATGGCGTCGTGGAAGAATATCGGTCAATTTGGTGAAAATAATTCGGCGACTCGGGATTGACTTGAAGACGATTGAGACCGACTCGAATCATGCGAGACTTGAACGTGTAATGGTATTGTCTCGGAAGGTGTTAAGTCGGGTATGACTCGGCTGTCTCATATTGGTGTCGGCCGATACTTTGAACCTTGGTTGCACATGATATGATGGTTTGTAATCGGTCATCATCTCCAAGACCAGAAGATAAGCAATTGAAAATTCTGTTCAAAGGCAAACTCACTTTTAGTGGGAAATGGGGTTTCCAGACTGGTTTTCAGGCTAGTTTTTACAAGCATAGCTGCTTCCATAAGAGACTTGAAGAATTAAAGAATAATAAGCTTTAATCACCAAGGAAATTAATTTTATTTTTTATCATCCTTCCATTTGAATGCTCGTTACGAAGCCAACCTTATGTATCCTCTCTATCCATTAATGCTACTTCCCTACAAAGAAGAGTAACTTTAGGACAAGTTATCTGATCAACAAAACCAAACTAAATGGACCTTGAACAGCACCTTTATTGTAGGCTGCTTTGTTTTGACTTTTGAGAGAACACAATCTGAAATGGAATGCCCAAATTGGAGTTCTCAAGACACATAACCGAATGGCACCTGATACTTTCGCTCTGAAAAAATCTCCAATGACAGGTTTTAGGTGCTAACATTATTCTTCTAGAAGGTAGATTAATGAAAGAGAAATCAGTCACTTTTTTGAAAATTCAGCTTAGTCTGCAATGGCGTTCCTTTTTCACTAGCTGTCTGGTCCCTGAATCTCCATAATAATATATTGCATGAGAAAATATCCAATGTAATGGTGATACCACATTTGTACCCTCACGTGAAATCACCATCTAATAAGAAACCAACAAAAAGGTGTATGTGTTTAGAATTTGGATTCCAAAATATCACATTGCAGCAACTGAATTTATTAAAATTCCCAATCACGAGAATCCAAAAATTGCATAAATTGATACAAAAAATTCGTTCCTCTCTTCTTGCAGGTCCTAATTCACAGAAAAGCTGACGTTGCATTCCTTTTTTGGATGCAGGTTCTGGAGGAAACAGGTTTTGATGTTTCTAAACTTCTTGACAAAGAAGAGTACATTAAAATGATATTTGGCCAGCAGAGGGCGCGGCTTTACATAGTTGCTGGGGTGAAAGATGATACAGCCTTTGCTCCACTCACCAAAAAAGAGATCAGTGTACGTATGTAATTCTCCCTTTTAAAAAGTCTAAATTGTTGTGGTTTGGGATAATTTATTTCTGATGTCCCGTATGCATAAAATTTATGACGGTAGAAATGAATATTGCTGATCATGCTTGATATCAACCTCTTTTTTGGTATATGAGGTATTACTTCTAAGTTCTAAGTCATCGGCAGCTGTCTTGTGTTTCTAGGTTAAGTCGAACTAATTTGGTAATTCCCAATTTTAACTCAATTATATGTCAAATCTTTCTTGATAGTGCAGGGGCTATATAGGAAGAAGCTCCCAATAGCTCTCCTAGCCGCTGCATGCAACATCTGACGAAAAATGGCTTGATGAACCGTTCTGTTTGCCACTCTAGATTTCTTACCTGCAACCAACGGTACTAAATTCTTAAGCGTACCTACAAATGATGGAATAGAAGAATCTCTATCTACGAAAGCACTGTTAATTGGGTTTTGTGCTTGCAACCCAGAGAGTGTCAAGCCCGTTTTTATTCTGAACTCTTCAAGCCTGCATATTTTGACAAAAAGTAATTTGGGGCAGTCTTCTTTTTATTTTCATTTCAAAAAAAATATTTCAATAATTGTATAGTTCTGTACTTTTTTTTGGGTCGGCATAGTTGTATACTTTACTGGAAACCAAGCCAAACGAATCCTCGCCCCAATTATTTGAGAGTAGCTACATAAATCCTCTTTTTTCCATTCTGGTCTGTCAAGGCTACATGCCAGTTTAATTATGAGTCGCGATAAGTTATCTTTAACTTTTGTCAGGTCAATTTTTAGGTATAATTAAACTTATAACCTTGCTTCATGTTTTTTGTTTTTTTTGGGAAAAAAGAATCTTGGAAAAGTAAAACTCAAATCTCTAAATTTGGATAAGGGATCAACCCAATGATGACCTTCCTCAGTCTTGTATGCCATCACTTGACACATGCAGGATGTAATGCCTGGCCTTGTTTTTTTTTTTTCTTGGCCTAAAATTGTTATTCTTGCTTCTCTTCCCTTAGCTTGTTTTGATTTTGTAAGTTCAAAGAAAAAATATATAAACCAATACCTTGGGCGTTAAATGTTGAAACTTCGTAGTGATTATGTCTAACATAGGGAAAAATGCTGGCAGGGCAATTAAATGAGATGAGCAGATTATGGGTTCAATTCTTACTGTTGATGGATAGATATAATATCATACTTAGGATGTTGGATTATACATATCTGGTTGCAGGAGATAGCATGGCAGCGGCTTGACGATCTCCAACCGGCAAGTGATGATGTAATCTCTTGTGGGATGACTGGCCTCAAGCTTTACATGGTTGCTCCATTCTTGGTGTGAGTATGTTTGCTTATAAAGTTTATAGGATCTCCAAAAATTAGGTTGTTAGCCATTTATCTGTGATTTATTCACTTCATGAAGGTCTTTGAAAGCATGGATTTCAGCTCATCGGCCCCTGGTAGCATCAAAACCTGATATGCCTTCGAGACGTATGATCCTCCTTGTCCCTTTATTGGAAATTTATGGTGATCTGTTAGCAAAATCCATCTCCTTATTTGTTTTTCCCATGCTGGCTTGATTATCAGGTTGATATGAACCGAATGATGTAATGTAAAACCAAGAAAATGAAAAGGAAAAATGTAATACTCATTAGATTTTCTTGATAGAATTCGTGAAAAACTAACAACTGAAACCAACTTGATAGATGGCTGAATTTAAATGTGTGCATAAAAAAGTATGGGTTTACTATTGGGTAGAAAATTGCAAATGTACCTAACTTTAGGCCAGGCTTGACCACATTATACAAAGCTATATACAGTTATTATGCCTTTCTTTCTTTCTTTTTTGTCTTTTTTATGAAGTGAAGTACCAACTGGACTTTAAGGGTTGGTTAATATTTTTGACCAAGTAAGATTTAGTCAAGGGACACTGTGGGACAGGTATAAAAAAACTGGGAGTTTGCAGTGATTGCAAGCAATAGTAAGTTATATACCAGTGAAATATATGAGCCATTTGAGCAGCCCAAGTCAATTTCTCTTCGGTTAGGAGAACCTGAAGTTGTTTTGAGCAAGTCCAACCCAATGGGATGGTTGAGTAAGACTGATTCAGTCTCTTAACACCTAAAATAGGGTTCGGTTCATCTTTAACAAAAAGAGATAATGGGATGTGAGTACCTTTTTCAAAACTTTTTTGGCTTTAAGTACCACCTCAAAACTTATCCTCTTTAAAGTCATTTTTTTCATCAAATAGTTGCCAATAAGTACTCATTTTAAAATATTTTCAAATTCTTTCTAAAATGTATCTCATAATTACTCCTACCATAAATAGTGCATACTTAGTTGATAACTTTTCTATTTTCAATATCTAAATATTAGAATGTGAGACTTTCAATGTTTCTTTTAATATTTGTGTATCATTTGAATTTTGAAATTTCATATATACACACACACACACACACGCGTATAGTAATATCAAACAGTAACACGCTCAACAAAAAAATAGTAACATCAAACAATAGTTTAGTTGTCACTCTTTACTAACACTACTTGGGCACTATCAAGGGGGCATTATATGATGTCATTGATTGGACTCCCATTGTCATTATCTCGTGTCTTTCTTTAGTGACACTGTTTACGTAGCGATTTTTCGAGTTCCTCTTTAGGTGCAACTCTTTGAGTGGACAAATATAAATTTTCATCATTTTTGGTCAATCTATTGTTGTCACTCTTTACTGACACTATTAAGGGGGTATTACATGGTGTCATTGATTGGACTCCCAGTGTCAATATCTCGTGTCTCTCTTTGGTGACATTGTTTGCATGGCGATTTTTCGAGTCTCTCTTTAGGTGTAACTCTTTGAGTGGACAAATATATATTATCATCATTTAAGGTCAATCTATTGTTGTCTCTCTTTACTGACACTACTTGGGCACTATCAAGGGGTATTACATGATGTCATTGATTGTACTCCTATTGTCATTATCTCGGGTCTCTTTTTGGTGACACTGTTTGTATGACAATTTTTCGAGTCCCTCGTTAGGTGCAATTCTTTGAATGGGCAAATATATATTGTCATCATTTATGTTCAATCTATTGTTGTCACTCTTTGCTGACACTACTTGGGCATTATCAAGGGGGCATTACATGATGCCATTGATTGGATCCCCATTGTCATTATCTCGTGTCTCTCTTTGGTGACATTGTTTGTATGACAATTTTTTGAGTCCCTCTTTAGGTACAATTTTTTGAGTGGTCAAATATATATGTTGCTATAAAATTCTCACATTCTAATCTTGAAAATCTCACATTCAATTACGCATACACTATTTATGATAGGGGTAAAAGGGCATTTATGACTTTTTTTTAGTAGATGTACTTCTATCTCAATAATTTTAAAAAGTGTATTTTTATCCTATTAAATTTTTAGGGAGGTACCGGCCTCCCTAAGCCCCTAACAAAAACCTAGTTGAGGTTTAGCTCTAAAAGAAAAAAATCCATACCTCTTTTGAGAAATTTTGAGTGAGGAGCCACCATTTGAACAACTTAGTTAAGTTTTGCAATTGAATAGTGATATGCCTCTCTTTGGCATGCCACCCAACTCAATCTTTTTGTTAAAGAGAACTTTAAACTTTAAATAACCACCGGAAATCTAGTTTATTGCTTTTCAGAGATTTGTGAAGTTATTAATAAGGCCTTAGAATAATTTGTTCAAAAGCTCAAGAAAATATTCTTGCATCTGGAGAACCAATCTTTAAAAAATGCCTTTACCAAGTTTGATCCTCATTGATGGGTATGGGTTGTAGGGTGGTTGGACTGGGTATTAGACATAATGTTTTCCGTTGTTTGCGGAAAGTGACTTCCTTCAGTCTGATCGACAATTTCCTGGATGTTGGGCCGAATTTTTACTGCTATCCAGTGGCCCCCATGATGATCTTATTCCATTTAGTCTAACTGTTGCATACTTTGGCATTCTTTTAAGAAAAGTGGCTTTGTAGACAATAATTCCCTTTAGTAGGGTAATAACCCCAACAAAATTATCTTTGCTTTGACATCATGGTACCCTTGATTCGCTCTTTGTGCTGCTGCTCCTCTCCCTCTTTGAGTCAGCCATCTTAGAACATAGGTTGATGGAATTAGTTTAGACTAGGACAAGAAGTCTTAGTTACCATCGATGTTCCTTTCCTTTGTCCAAGGCATCCTGCAATTATATCCAAATCCACACTAAGTTTTAGGACCCATCTTGTCTGATGTCAGGTTGTGATTATTGCTAATGTAGTTGTGATGACATTGGCTGAATCAGTTGAGGAGATCATGGTGGTTTTTTTATGCAGTATCAGCATGTTTGTCTCGTTAAAAAAAAAATAGCATGTTGTCTTGTTCTAGTATGCTTTAATTTACATTATACTAGTTAAGTAGCTTAATCAATCTACAATAATGCTTCCAGTAATTGTCGCCTGGACAAGGCATCATTCGACAAATTCATTGTTCGCATTGCTCTTAGTTTAACTGAAGTGCTAAAAAATAATATCAAACTTACGCCTAAAGGTCCTGTCCTAGGCAAAGTCTGATGACTAATCAGTTGTTCAGTACCTACCCATATTTTTTCACCAGCTCTTCCTTTTCATATAGGGTCAAAGTAAGATGCCAGCTTTAGCTGTGGACTAACATTTATGGTTCAATAAACTCAGATCTCCTTGAAAGATATTTGGGGGTTGGAAGGCGGGCGGTGGGCGTGGGTGTGCGTTGCCTCTATAATTGTAGTTTGTTATCTTTTTTGATATATTTCGACTAATGTTTTAGAAAATAATTCTTAATTTTTTTATTTTATTTCCAAAACGGGTCAAAACATATTCAAAATACGTCGAAACGTTTCCATTTCCTAGATAACTGAAACAATGCATTGATACAAAATTTTGATCCTTGCTTGCATACTCAAAGTGGTTACCATACTAATTTCAAATGCCCATAAGCCTGAATCTTCGAAATGAAGAATTAACAAAAATTAAGAAATACAAAACAAGATTAAACAAAGATCTTAATACTGTTTCCATTTACTTACCACTAGTACAATGGTTAGAACTGTGCTCACTTGTGCAAGATACTCTTCTTGGGCAACTTTGGTTTCTTTTGAGCTTGGTTCTTCATAGAAAGTCAACAATGTAAAAAGACCAGTCAGGGTCATACATATTCAGTGGCATACACAGCCTAAGACTAAATATAAGATCACGCAGCAAAAAGGTAGAATTTAACCTTGTCTTTCCAAGGCTTCATGATCCGTCCTCTCTCTCCAGTTGCGCTTTCGTAGTTTGATTGGCCGATTTCCAACATATTTAACCTAAAATCACAGTTGAGATCAACGTCATGCATTGTCTTAAGATTGACATCCCAGTTATCATTCGAGAACACGCAATACTATTCTGAAAATTCTAATAGTTTGTCCATACAAGAATTCTGCATCCATTTTCAATTCAAATAAGATACTTAATTAATAATCAAATTTTGCCCATGGCACAACTAGTTTATGACATGAGAATGTTCCTTTTTCTGGTAGCATGCCTCCGAACCAAGACATTTCATGCACCGAAGCTCGATATGTTTCATTCCAAAAACAGATATTAAATAAACAGAATAACACCGACATGTCCCACATGAACTCTGCATGTGAAGGACTTGAAGAAGGTGAAGCTTATCATCGGACAGCAACATTTATATGGTATGAATGATGCACCAAAAGAACAACAAAAAATATGGAAGTAGAAGGATCATCCGTAAGAAGTTATCTTCCTGAGAAAGATATTACTTACCATTCATTTCTTTAAGTGCAGCTGCAATGTCTGTAGGGTTGGCAAAACTAACAAATCCATATCCCTTGGTTTTCCCAGTTCGCTTATCTCGAACCACCTAAGACCATGCAATAATGCGAACAGTCTATTCATTACTTGAAGTCGCAAACATATAATGAGGCAACACAAATCCTCCAAACATCTACGTAACAAAGATAGGAAAAACAACTACCGAAGATGAAAAAAAAAGTTATTTTGGTAAAGATGATAAACAAACACCCAAATCATCGCAATTATTTCTCATTGGGATTAAATGTGTGCTCTAAGAATGTAGACTTGCTCTAATGATAAACCCTTGTTGATTTTGTGAAGGAATTATTGTATGGAAGGCGAAGAACAGTCCTACAAGGAACAGCTCACTGATACAAGAGACTCGACCGAGCAAATCTGCTGCTGATGCTAACTCCTCTGATACAGGCCCTGGCCGGAGCTTCAGAAAATTTCAGTTTGATACTGCCGCAATCCTCCAAACAATGGAAACTGCATTCTCTTAAACGCTGAACTAAATGTGTTTAGTAAAGTGTTCATGTGCGCATAGTCTGGTTAGTTTTGGGCCTCGGCTATTTCACCAATTTTCTTCGACAGCACTTTAGGTGTCTGCATGCTTATTTGGTAGCTTTACGGCTGTACATTGTACGTGTCAGATTCTGGTGAGATGAATGTATATTCTGTACAGAACTGTTATGACAAATTGAACATTTTCTTCCTTTTTTCACTTATATGTTGGTAAGTATAGCACACCAACTTTCTTACGAATGTAATGTTTGAACTGAAAGTATGCTAGTCCATCAGACATTACTCTTATTCACTTGGGGAATGTTTGTTTTGTGGAGAAGGATGGATGGGATTGGAGTCTTATTTTCAATATTCTCCAACCCCATGGGTATGGCAGACATTATTTAATTTTTTTTCCAATCTTACACCATGTTTGACTTGTGATTTTTGCAATGCATGTGGGTCTTACATAAAAGTAATAATTGTATTTGATAATTGACTCGAATACCCCCGTTTGGTTTAGATTATTGTAATTTATTTTCTTGTGGTGCGAACAACAAAAGTAAATATTTTATTTTATATCAATTGACTTTAATGCCTTTGTCTTGATGTTGAACATTAGGTCATTAGAAGAGTCAATACTGTAATTGACTAATCTAGTACCATGTGTTAGTTTTTTACTTCATTTTAATACTACCTCCTAGGTGGTATTGAATAATATCTCTGCATGGGTTTATATATATATATTGTAGCATCTGGGTCGGTATTAATTTTAAATGCTATAACTGAGGCGATAAGGACATAATAAATGCGGTATAAAAAAGATTCTGGACTATTTTTGCTTATTGCATATGCTTACACCACTCTAATACCGAAACAAACATGCCCTTGCAACCTTTACATTAGCAGATAACAACATAGAAGTTCCAGAGAAACTGCTGTCTCATGGTCGTTCCACCTGAGTGCCGGTAGTGAGTTAACCAATATCACCAATCTTGATGCCTTGTTGCTGGAGTAGATGGATCAAAAGGGAGACGCCCTACTTATTATGGGTGGAGTCGAGGTGTCCATGGTAAGCCATGAATGGAGGAGTCAATCTAGGCAGGAGGTTGGATTCAATGCTTTGTCTTTTATACTTGCTATTTTCCCGGGTTGGTAATTTTAGCCATTGGAAGTAGAATATACATAAGACATTTCAACGCAGGTTTGTGTGACAATTAACCATTTCTTTCCCTGAATTACTTTTCATTAATTGCGACACATCAAACATTTGCCATCATTTTAGGTCTGACCTCTAAAAGGAAGCGTCATATATTTTTTTTTTTTTTGGTAGGCGGAAGGGGAAGGGGAAGGGGAAGGGGAAGGGGAAGGAGAGAAGAAGACTTGAACCTTTAACTTTAAGAAAACAAAACATTCACAAGATAAAAAATATCATTGGACAAAAAATCCATTGATAGGAAGCGTCATATCTGAAACTTAAATCAAGAGTAAAAGTGACAACGGTTGTGCAACATTGGTCTAATAGTGACAACCATTCAAGAATAGCATAGCCAGATACTACATTAACAATTTCTATGCTTTCACCTTGAAAGCCACGTTCCACATTAGTTTAGCACTCAAGGGAGTAATTCACTGACAGTAAGGCAAATACAACACCACATACAGTAATGTGAAGAATCAAAGCCAAAGACAACAATGGCAGCACTTGATGAAACTATGAAATATATTTGCTCAAAGGGATTAAATTTGCTCTGAGCAATTTTCCGGGTGGTGCTGTGGTTTCATGGCAGCTACCCCGAACAGAGAGAGTCTCATCGAAGCAACTACAGTTCTCCGTTCATATCCTTTTATAGCTAGCCCTGTATAATGCTAAAGGCTCAGATTCAGATAATCACCTTTGAAGAACCACCCACGTCCTGATGCAATCGACTAGTTGGACAAGCATTTTCCGCAGGGTGGATGATGCCAAACTACTAAGGAACTGAAAATTTGAAGACAGCTTAGGCTACTATGACAAACCATGTTGCTAATTTAACAGAAAAATTGAAAAGAAAAAAAAAAAAAAAAAGACGAACAAAACCTACATAAAATTCTTATAGGAGGAAAGGTAGTACACAAGGCTAATAAATGTCGTTGCAGTTCTTATAGCTAGCAGGAAAGGCAGTACAAAAAAGCTAATAAATGTTCTTGCAATTCACAGGAAGAAAAATTTCCAACCTGGATCACGACTTGAAATTACATCCTTAGCGCTTTCAACTCCTCTATTATTGCATAGTCCTCTGGCTTGTCCTGGACTGTACTCCACTTCTCTTCTATCTGTACCAATGATTTGTCTTGTGAATCGATAAGAGCCTTAGTAACAGGTGGTTCCTCTACTCGAGCTCCTGGAACAGCTAAAACTGGCACAGCGTCCAGAAGTATGTCCTGGACTGCATTCCTCGTCACATCTATGCATGACATTGTGCTGGCTGTTGGAGCAATAGGAGCCTTAGAAACTGGCGACTCCTCTACTTGAACTGGTGGAGGAGCAGAAACTGGCACAGCCTCCTGCAGCTTGTCCTGGTCTGCACTCATTGTCCCGTCCATCTGTGTGACAACACTGGGTGGTCGGGCGATAGGAGTCTTAGAGACTGGTGGGTCCTCTACTCGAACTGGTGGAGCAGCAAAAGCTGGCACAGCCTGCCTTACACAGACAGGTGGTGCTACACCCAATGGTGGAGGCCTCCTCACCTGTGATGTCTGACTAGGCCGGGGAAGTGGCGGTGCAGAGAAAACAGGTATCGCATTTCGTATCGTCACAGGTGGTGCAATCCCATGGTGTGCCCTATAGTGCCTGACAGGAATGTAGGGTGCTGCTCCAGCTGCGGGGAATTTCTGGAGTCGGACCATTGGGCTTTCTACCGATGGTGAGGGACTGTCATTGACAGTTGCAATAGTGGGGTGGCTTTGAGGAGCTGTCATCGTGCTCATGGGTATGTCATTTAGTATATTGGTGATTGGCCCATTTTGAGGAGTTGTCTTCAAGCGTATTGTATTGTTAAATGTGGCACTAAAATGTTTGCTTCGAGAAGCTGNGTAGTACACAAGGCTAATAAATGTCGTTGCAGTTCTTATAGCTAGCAGGAAAGGCAGTACAAAAAAGCTAATAAATGTTCTTGCAATTCACAGGAAGAAAAATTTCCAACCTGGATCACGACTTGAAATTACATCCTTAGCGCTTTCAACTCCTCTATTATTGCATAGTCCTCTGGCTTGTCCTGGACTGTACTCCACTTCTCTTCTATCTGTACCAATGATTTGTCTTGTGAATCGATAAGAGCCTTAGTAACAGGTGGTTCCTCTACTCGAGCTCCTGGAACAGCTAAAACTGGCACAGCGTCCAGAAGTATGTCCTGGACTGCATTCCTCGTCACATCTATGCATGACATTGTGCTGGCTGTTGGAGCAATAGGAGCCTTAGAAACTGGCGACTCCTCTACTTGAACTGGTGGAGGAGCAGAAACTGGCACAGCCTCCTGCAGCTTGTCCTGGTCTGCACTCATTGTCCCGTCCATCTGTGTGACAACACTGGGTGGTCGGGCGATAGGAGTCTTAGAGACTGGTGGGTCCTCTACTCGAACTGGTGGAGCAGCAAAAGCTGGCACAGCCTGCCTTACACAGACAGGTGGTGCTACACCCAATGGTGGAGGCCTCCTCACCTGTGATGTCTGACTAGGCCGGGGAAGTGGCGGTGCAGAGAAAACAGGTATCGCATTTCGTATCGTCACAGGTGGTGCAATCCCATGGTGTGCCCTATAGTGCCTGACAGGAATGTAGGGTGCTGCTCCAGCTGCGGGGAATTTCTGGAGTCGGACCATTGGGCTTTCTACCGATGGTGAGGGACTGTCATTGACAGTTGCAATAGTGGGGTGGCTTTGAGGAGCTGTCATCGTGCTCATGGGTATGTCATTTAGTATATTGGTGATTGGCCCATTTTGAGGAGTTGTCTTCAAGCGTATTGTATTGTTAAATGTGGCACTAAAATGTTTGCTTCGAGAAGCTGTCTTTGGACATATTAAGGGAAGGATTTTTGATGTTGTAGCTGGAGGGGGCTGTGAACTTGGAATTCTTGGTTTCTGCGTTGGAAATTCCATTGGAAATGGTAAACCAGACATTATTACCTTAATGCGATACTTTTGTAGAGCACGTGCTACCATGACATGCTCCTGTTCATCATTGATCACCTTTTCAGATGAAGAATTCTCAGTTTGCTGTGCCACTGCAGAAAGAGAAGAAGCATGTCACATAAGAATGAATGGATGCTTTTATAGTTAACATGAAGAGAAAAAGGCACCATTTTTAAAAGACCTCTGCGAATACAGGTATTGTCCTTATCTTCTTCTTTTTCAACCTTTTTACATAGAAATACTCTGGGAAAAATAATCTGCTGGGTTAAAGCACCGGACAAAAGTCTATTTCTATTAAGCTAATGCAAAGACATAGTTCTGACTTTACTGTACAATTTTTTGGGCTGGATTTAAGGGGTGGGGACTGAAGATGGGGCTAGCTGAAGACTCCAATGATATGGCATAAAAACGAGGACAATACGTAGCCTTGAGCACACATACTTTTCGCAGACCTTTTATTGGGGCTACTTTGCTGGTGAGTGGTAGAGTGCTGTGTCAAGAACCATTTGGAGATGTTTGGCATGTTAGGTATGGCATTAAATAAAATGGTTTCAAATCATGACAAACCAGAATAATAAAATATAAACACCTTGCCGGAGCCAATGGTAATTTGATGCACCACGTCTAGCCCTACTGGTCTTCAATCAATAGTCCAGCATACATGCCCATCACTCAGAATGCAAATGTAGCAGAGAAAAGGGGTGATGTAAGTGTTCCATTCGTTCATAAATATTTGAATTCTGAGTGTCAGAAGTTATTTTAAAGGGTAAAGGCATAGATCTAAGCCACCACGGTACTTCAGCAAACATCTAATACAGCAATATTATTTGAACTCCAATCTCCACTACAGAAATTACAGATAGACATAAAACTAAATAAAACAATGAGTATACATCATTACAACAATGCAGAGGTTAAGGATTTAGGTTCAACAGACAAGAGACAAGGCTGATGGTACACTTTAATAACTAACACATGTACAGAGGATGGATTTTGTTTCCCAGAAAGTTACACAGGATGGATTGCCACATAGCCAAGGGGTAAAAAGACAAAATAGCCAATTTGATTTAACTACGAATTGGTTTTAATTTTAAAAAAATGTTATATCCTGTTTTGCGTTGGTGACCACTAACCAATAGTGGAAGGGGTGGACCAAAAATAGACCAAAATTAGGGGTTAATTACAGATAGTGACTGCCCTCAAATTTGAAGTCCGCAATCTTACGCCTCAAGTATTTTATCCCCAGGCTAGGCAATGACCCTTATGCATTGATACATACAAAACACTATGCAAGTAACTAATCATATTTTGAAATTGTATTGCTTTACTGTACATAGATCAAGGAATTTTAAAATGGTCCCTGTATTCAAAAATAAGGAGCAACAAGTTTGTTAGGAAGAAGAGTGCAGTGGAACAGTGGTGGTTTATGAACTAAGCTAAAATCAATAGAAGTTCAGAAATTATGACCACCAGTTATTAAGAAATGTGCAGTTTGACTTCATAGAACCTCAGGAAAAAAACTGGATCAACAATGCACTCTTCTCTTCTTTGTTTCAACACATCACTTATACAATTCTTGATAGATTGTCATTTTTTTCATTATAATTTCCCAAACAACATAAAATGCAGGATATCACATATCATTCCTATATCTTTTTTTATATCTATATGAATAAGTAAGGTCTTATATATGTAAAACTATGTTATACATGAAGTTACCAGATTGAATTTTATCGTCAAATATATTATATTTTATTTTTTGGTATGCAATAATATAATAATATTATAAGCTATCTAATCAATCTATTTAGCAAAATAAAAATTAATAATTCTATAATATAATTAGATGTACAATGCCTAAATAGATCAGAGAAATACCTAAATAAATAACAAATTAGGTTTCCAAAGATTTATAGAGTAAAATAATAATTAAATTTAGCAATAATTAAAATACGAATTAATTATTCGGCAATTAATTTATTATTTAATTTGATTACACATATATTTCATATTTTCTATAAAATAATATTTTTTAAATTTAATTATGTGCAACGTACGTCGTGCATTGCTAGTAACATAAAATGCAGGATATCACATATCATTCCTATATCTTTAGTTCTATAGATTGACAATAAATGTTTCTCCTCCATGAGAAAATACCCTCCCTAACATGCCTCGAGTCCTTCATACAAACTTTCGATGAAATTTTGGATGACTTACACTGTTTTAGAGATGACCAAGCTGCCATGGCCGCATTCTTTTCAGCTTGCTTCTTGTTTTTTGCTGGTTCGCCAGTAAATGTGAAGCCAGCCAACTCTACAGTGCCAGTGAAGACTGGTAGGTGCCCAAGGCCAGATCTAAAAGTTGTGTATAATGGCAATGATGCTCCTACTCTTTGTGAGACCTCCTGCAAGAGATTTTTGTAGACCCCTGTCTCATCCTGCCCATTGCAAACTCTAGTTGGATTAGAGGGTAATAATAAGCAGGCTAGCAATGAGAATGGCAAATCAACAATTTGATGGATGATGCTTTATTTTTGCTCTTCCTGGTGGATTTCTTAGCCACCTTTTATGTATATATGAATCTTTCTACAAATGAAAGTTTCGTTTCCCATAAAAATAAAAATAAAAAACAGTTTTAAGGATGAAATACTTGCATGAGGGTTTGCAGGTCAACCAAATGCTTCGGTAAAAAAGACGGCAAGTATATTTTTGTTGTTCAAGTGCAGAAACATAAGAAATTAATCAAATAAGAAACACATCCAAAAGAGAGTCAAACAAGAAATTTCCTATTAGCTGATGGTAGTGACAACAATGGCCAAGCAACTGCAGTATTGGTGGCAGGATAGTAAACTCTCAAGTACTTCAATTACTTGAGAAGCTTTTACAAATATTGCCTGAGGTGATAGTAGAAGAGCAGGTTGTGGCACCAGAGAAGTTGGGGTAATGTTGCCAGTAAGACTAGGTTCAAGTTTCAGAGTTTATTCACAAAAATCTAAAATCTATATTAACTGAATATATACTTGGGGAACTCACGTATCAAAATGCGTATAAATCCATACAGGTAATCTGCACTCTAAATTGGAAAGGATACCCGTGCAGAATGCCGGCACCAGCTTATAAAATCTACAAACCCAGTTAATGATGTAACGTGTAGATCTTCACTCATATTGGCAGATAACGGGACTCCTAGGCCCCAGCTATTCTTTGCAGTTCACTGTGGAATCTCACTATTACTATTCAAACAACCACGAGATATAAGCCACCAGAATCAGACATGTTGTCGTTGAAGACCATAATTATGGATATGCAAACATGATAACTTAATGTCATTCTTCATCCCCCAAAAATTCGACAAATTTACAGCAAGAATAACCGTTCAAATCAGACTAATTTTAGGCTTCGAAGTCAGAGGAAAACAACTAACGAATAACATGTACTGATTTTTAGGAGTCTGTAAATTATGGACAAAACCAAACTTTAAAGGAATAAAGAAAATATGATGATAAAGGCCATCAAAAGAGCAACTTAGACCGGATGTGGGCCTTCTAAGTAACTTTGACATCAAATTCTTCATCAAGAACACAAGGAATTAGCATATCTACAAGAACACTAGCTTGCTTGTTGTCGCATGCTTTTTGGGAACATTTAAAGTGGTATAATATGACAAAGAGGTTAAATTAGAAAAATGTAAAAGAAACGCAATGTAAAAATCCTTTCTACTGAAAAGATTTTCACAATAATTAGTGGCATACTATCTACTTTCTACTACTTAAAACAAATATTTGAAAATATCTAAATAAGGTTTACTTTATCAACATAACATTGACAGTCATTCTAAAATCTTGTCGTACCAAATGAACCCACAAAAAGACAATCAAAACATGAGTATTGTTAAAAAACTCCAACTGAGCAACTTGTAAGCTTAACTCAAGATCTGCAGGGTGCAGGGCCAGGGCCTTTTCTTTGGGTTTGGCTTCTTTTTTTTTTTTGTTGGGGGGTTGGGGTTGGGGTTGGGGGGGATGTAAAAGAGTTTATATGAAAAACCTACTAAAGACATGGCGCCTAAATGAACTTTTGGGCATCTAAGAAGACCATGGCTTCATCAGATCCAAAAGGTACAATAATATGCCAATTAAGCCTTAATCCAATAGAAACTTAAAAAATTCTAATGAATGGACCACTTTGGCAGCTACCACCCACTTCAAAATCTACAGCAATCTCTTAGACCAGGATGATCTTTATGCCCATTAGGATGATCTATTCCCTGCTTTGGGTTACACTTTTTTTAAGACAAGCAAGAAATTTACATCTTATGGAAAGTGATATTTACTACTATACAACATAGTTATCAAATCGTGTATCGGAAGGCGTATCGTAAGATACAAATATTGTATCGTATCGTGTATCGTAAGATACGATGCAATTTTAAATAAATAATAAAAAAATATATATACCTTTGAAAAAAAGTCATACACTCATAAAAAATATAGCATTTCATTAATACTCCACCAACTATTCAAGTTATCAACATAATCCACTACTATTATAATGCAAAGTTCACAACCATAGTTCACTAATTCAAACTTTAAACACCAAAGAGACTTCTAATCCAAATTTCTAACATCCATTTTGAACTCAATCTTCAATTTCAATTGAAAATGCATCATCATCATCATCATTGTGATCGGATGCCAACAAGTCTTCACTTGTCGTTTTTTTAAAAAAAAAATCAGAGCACAAAACGACGTCGTTTTTTTTAAAAAAAAAAAAAAAAAAAAAAAAATTTCCACGTATCGTGCGTATCGTACCGATACGTATCGTATCGTAAAAACGTATCGTGTATCGGACGATACAACGCAAAAACGATACATAACTACGATCCGTATCGTTTTAGGGCTGTATCGTAACGTATCGTACGATACGTATCGCGTATCGTACGATACTAACAACTTTGGGTACGAGGTCTTAACACCAAGCTTCATAGCTTTGGTCCAAGGAAGAACTAGTACAACTCATAGTTGTACTGATACCAAGGTTTATATGTTGTGATGAACTAGTACAATTATTGTACCAGTACATCACTGAACCGATCGGACTTGTACCGGTACAACAAGGCTGATTTTATGTTTTGTCATGTACTGTCTAATTTTTCATTTGTCCATTCCTTAAGCTGTCCAAAACATCCTATTGAGCTAAAAGACAATTTTAAATGGACTTGCTTGCTTACAACTACTTGATTAAAGTGTAAAATTTAAACTTAGCAAGAAAAGTTGGATTATTAGCAAGAANCAATACGATCCATATAAATAACTCACAACTTCATGCCTGGAACCAAGAATGATAAACAATAATGCTAACCTATGAAGTATGGACTCTCTCAAGAAGGTGATGTATATGTGTCGAATACGTGTCTGATACTCTTTTTTTCGTGTTCATAATTAAATAAAAAAAATTTAATTTCAGACACATGTCTGACACTACTTTGGTGACGTGTCAGACACTTCTTTAAATGTGCCTACTACTAAATAACAAATATGTGTTGACATGTGATTAATAAAACTAAAAAATTGACTAATAAGTATCTTATACTAGGAGGGAATATATAATTATCCAAACTAAACATGCTTAAGTTGTACTCAAAAGTTAAACAAAGTAAAAGATACATAAAAATTTAGAAAAAAAAGCAATTGAAAAAATCAAAGCAATTATTTAAATTATATATGCTTGGTAAAGTGACTTTGACAAAAAGAAATGAAGTGACTTAGAAAAATCTTTTTTGTCGATAACCTCAAAGCAATCAATCAAATATTGATTAATACGTAATCGATCAAACATGTCTATAAAAAAATTGATGATTATTGGCTATTATGATATTAGTCTAAAACTTCACACTAGATAACTAGACATTACATTTAATTATCATAAAATACTAATTGTTTTATCAATAATGTTATTATCACTATAGTTGTGATAAATCATATAATTATATGTTTAAAACACAATTATCCGAAGCGTGTCTCCAACATATCTATATCTTGCTTTTTGGAGAAATAACGTGTCTGGGTGTCTGTGTTGTATTGTATCTTTGTTTGTGCTTCTTAGATGCTAATGTCAAACATGATGAGACACTAACGGATGCATAAATATATGTCCCTCAAACCTTTTATTAATAAAAAAATATGCAATTGTGGGATGTGTTTTCATGCTCGTTATAATGTACTTGTACATCTACGATATGCAAAACCCATTTCTTGTATTTGAACAACGAAAAGGTGATGAAAACATTTCAATCAAAATAGGATTTTGAAATGAAAGTATGTACCAAACTTTATGGAAACTACTGATCAAGCACCACAGTGATATTTTGAGGGTTTCATTAGAAGTCTACAACCAATATCAAACCCTTGCAACAAATAGATATTACTTCTACCAAACTAAACTAAGTCTTATGTCCCAATTATTTAGGGTTGGCTATATGAGTCCGTCTTCGCCACTCATTTCGATCATGCACTATACGCTCATTTAAGTTAAATTTTTTTATATCTTTTCTTATTATTTTGTTCAATGTTAATTTAAGTCTATTCCTACTTCTAGTACTATTAAGAGCATAGTTGTCAAATCACGTATTGGAAGGTGTACCGTTTGTTAAAAATAATGTATTGTATTGTATTGTATCGTGTCGTGTATTGTATATCGTAAGATACGGCACAATTTTAAATAATTAATAATAAAATATATATGCTTTTGAAAAAAAATCATAAACTCATAAAAATATAACATTTCATTAATATTCTACTTACTATTCAAGTCACCAATATAATTTACTAATATTAAAAAAATAATGAAGGGTATCAAATTAAATTAATGGTACTTACGTATACTTAAAAATAAAAAGTTATAATGTAAGGGGTATTAAATGTCATTCTTCATTCTTCATTCTTATAACAAAAAAACATAGTCATGAGTCTCGATCACAAGAACAAATAGAGAGAACGAGAGAAGAGGTGCGAGGCGAGAGGCGATGGCGATGGCGATGGCAGAGAGAGAGAGAGAGAGAAGAAAAAGAACATACCTGGTAGTTGGTACCTCGTGGTCGCAGCTCACAACGATGAAGAAAGAGATCGTGAGAACTAGGGTTTCATCCGATATTTACAGGTTAGTGATGCTATTNGAACTTTTGGGCATCTAAGAAGACCATGGCTTCATCAGATCCAAAAGGTACAATAATATGCCAATTAAGCCTTAATCCAATAGAAACTTAAAAAATTCTAATGAATGGACCACTTTGGCAGCTACCACCCACTTCAAAATCTACAGCAATCTCTTAGACCAGGATGATCTTTATGCCCATTAGGATGATCTATTCCCTGCTTTGGGTTACACTTTTTTTAAGACAAGCAAGAAATTTACATCTTATGGAAAGTGATATTTACTACTATACAACATAGTTATCAAATCGTGTATCGGAAGGCGTATCGTAAGATACAAATATTGTATCGTATCGTGTATCGTAAGATACGATGCAATTTTAAATAAATAATAAAAAAATATATATACCTTTGAAAAAAAGTCATACACTCATAAAAAATATAGCATTTCATTAATACTCCACCAACTATTCAAGTTATCAACATAATCCACTACTATTATAATGCAAAGTTCACAACCATAGTTCACTAATTCAAACTTTAAACACCAAAGAGACTTCTAATCCAAATTTCTAACATCCATTTTGAACTCAATCTTCAATTTCAATTGAAAATGCATCATCATCATCATCATTGTGATCGGATGCCAACAAGTCTTCACTTGTCGTTTTTTTTAAAAAAAAATCAGAGCACAAAACGACGTTTTTTTTTTTAAAAAAAAAAAAAAAAAAAAAAAAAAATTGCACGTATCGTGCGTTTCATACCGATACGTATCGTATCGTAAAAACGTATCGTGTATCGGACGATACAACGCAAAAACGATACATAACTACGATCCGTATCGTTTTAGGGCTGTATCGTAACGTATCGTACGATACGTATCGCGTATCGTACGATACTAACAACTTTGCTATACAATACGATCCATATAAATAACTCACAACTTCATGCCTGGAACCAAGAATGATAAACAATAATGCTAACCTATGAAGTATGGACTCTCTCAAGAAGGTGATGTATATGTGTCGAATACGTGTCTGATACTCTTTTTTTCGTGTTCATAATTAAATAAAAAAAATTTAATTTCAGACACATGTCTGACACTACTTTGGTGACGTGTCAGACACTTCTTTAAATGTGCCTACTACTAAATAACAAATATGTGTTGACATGTGATTAATAAAACTAAAAAATTGACTAATAAGTATCTTATACTAGGAGGGAATATATAATTATCCAAACTAAACATGCTTAAGTTGTACTCAAAAGTTAAACAAAGTAAAAGATACATAAAAATTTAGAAAAAAAAGCAATTGAAAAAATCAAAGCAATTATTTAAATTATATATGCTTGGTAAAGTGACTTTGACAAAAAGAAATGAAGTGACTTAGAAAAATCTTTTTTGTCGATAACCTCAAAGCAATCAATCAAATATTGATTAATACGTAATCGATCAAACATGTCTATAAAAAAATTGATGATTATTGGCTATTATGATATTAGTCTAAAACTTCACACTAGATAACTAGACATTACATTTAATTATCATAAAATACTAATTGTTTTATCAATAATGTTATTATCACTATAGTTGTGATAAATCATATAATTATATGTTTAAAACACAATTATCCGAAGCGTGTCTCCAACATATCTATATCTTGCTTTTTGGAGAAATAACGTGTCTGGGTGTCTGTGTTGTATTGTATCTTTGTTTGTGCTTCTTAGATGCTAATGTCAAACATGATGAGACACTAACGGATGCATAAATATATGTCCCTCAAACCTTTTATTAATAAAAAAATATGCAATTGTGGGATGTGTTTTCATGCTCGTTATAATGTACTTGTACATCTACGATATGCAAAACCCATTTCTTGTATTTGAACAACGAAAAGGTGATGAAAACATTTCAATCAAAATAGGATTTTGAAATGAAAGTATGTACCAAACTTTATGGAAACTACTGATCAAGCACCACAGTGATATTTTGAGGGTTTCATTAGAAGTCTACAACCAATATCAAACCCTTGCAACAAATAGATATTACTTCTACCAAACTAAACTAAGTCTTATGTCCCAATTATTTAGGGTTGGCTATATGAGTCCGTCTTCGCCACTCATTTCGATCATGCACTATACGCTCATTTAAGTTAAATTTTTTTATATCTTTTCTTATTATTTTGTTCAATGTTAATTTAAGTCTATTCCTACTTCTAGTACTATTAAGAGCATAGTTGTCAAATCACGTATTGGAAGGTGTACCGTTTGTTAAAAATAATGTATTGTATTGTATTGTATCGTGTCGTGTATTGTATATCGTAAGATACGGCACAATTTTAAATAATTAATAATAAAATATATATGCTTTTGAAAAAAAATCATAAACTCATAAAAATATAACATTTCATTAATATTCTACTTACTATTCAAGTCACCAATATAATTTACTAATATTAAAAAAATAATGAAGGGTATCAAATTAAATTAATGGTACTTACGTATACTTAAAAATAAAAAGTTATAATGTAAGGGGTATTAAATGTCATTCTTCATTCTTCATTCTTATAACAAAAAAACATAGTCATGAGTCTCGATCACAAGAACAAATAGAGAGAACGAGAGAAGAGGTGCGAGGCGAGAGGCGATGGCGATGGCAGAGAGAGAGAGAGAGAGAAGAAAAAGAACATACCTGGTAGTTGGTACCTCGTGGTCGCAGCTCACAACGATGAAGAAAGAGATCGTGAGAACTAGGGTTTCATCCGATATTTACAGGTTAGTGATGCTATTTTTTTCAAATTTAAATTTTTGTTTGATTTGCTTTTTCTTGGGTGTTTTTACTGATTTGTGGGTTTGGTGGATTGGTAGTTCTTGTCTTCTTCATCTCTTTGCCTTTTCTTTGGCATTTTCTCTATTCTCTGATTTGTGGGCTTGGGTGCCTTCATCTCTGTTGGTGCGAATCAGTTCGATTTAGTGCGAATCAGTTCGATTTAGTGCGAATCAGGCTGTCAACGATTAAAAAAACAAAATAAATTAAATTAAACAGAGACTTCACGTATTGTTTGTATCAACCGATACGTATCGTATCGTAAAAACGTATTGTGTATCGAACGATACTATGCAAAAACGATACAAAACTCTGATTCGTATCATTTTACCTATGTATCGTAACGTATTTTACGATACGTATTGCGTATCGTATAATACTAATAACTATAATTAAGAGAGATTATCACACTTTTTTGAATCGGTGCCTCTATCGACCTCCGTTGAACATAATTAAATCATCTTAATCTATTTTCTCTTAACTTATTCTTAATTGAAAATACTTCTACAATCTCTCTAATACGATCATTTCTTATTCTATCTTTTTTAGTTTTTTCACACATTCACCTTTACATTCTCATTTCCGCTACAATCATTTTTGTCACTATGTTATTTCCTAGTTGACCAACATTCTGTCTCATTCAACATTGTTGTTCTTATTACTGTTCGATAAAACTTACCTTTCAATTTTATTGGTATCTTCCTACCACATAATATGCCAGATATTTTCCTCCACTTAAGCCAACCGGCATTCATTTTATGAGTTAGATCATTTCCAACTTCTCCATTTTTAATGATCGACCCTAGATATCTAAATTGTTTACTCATTGGTATTTTTTGATTTTCAATCTTAATTTTTTCACTATGTCAACTTCTTTTATTCCTAAAATTACATTGCAGATATTCAGTCTTACTTCTACTTATTTTAAATCCTTTCGATTCAAGTGTCTCTCTCCAAATTTTTAACTTATTCTTAATCTCGCTTCGAGTTTCATCTACTAATACAATATCCTTTACAAATAGCATACACTGTGGGACATCATCTTGAATGTGTCTAGTGAGTTTATCCATAATTAAGACGAATAGAAATGGACTTAGGGCTGATCCTTGGTGTAATCCTACTGTGATTGAAAATTCTTTACTTTTTTCCCACGAAAGACTTATACATGTCCTTTATCACCTCAATATACCTATTTATCACTCATTTTCTCCCAAACACACTCCATATTATATTTTTAGGTACTTTATCCAGCGATTTTTATAGATCTATAAATACCATATGAAGATTTGTTTTGGTTGTTACCAATTCAGTAATAAAATTAAAATGGAGAAAGTGCATCAGTGCGGTTCCATGACAAAATATAACTAGAAGTAATTCAACCTTGTTTCTTCCACTCCACAAAATTTATCTCTACTCAATTATGGCAAAACACAAAACAAATAATCAATAGAATATTCTCACAGACCCAATTCATAGTTCGGAGACACAACTCATACAATAGCACAACGCATACACTAGCCTTACCAATTTCTTCTTTTTCTTCTTACTCTCTCTCTCTCTCTCTTAATTAATTTTTATATTCATTTCCCATTGCCTACTAATTTATCACAACAATAGTAAAAACTAATGAAAAATGAAACCAAATAAAGTCATAAGTACAGCAAAGCACATAGATGCTAACAGAACTGTAACGGAACCCTGAGAGTTTCAAACACAAAACCAAACACTGACCAGAATCCTGGCGGCCATCGAATTCGACGGCCCACGACTTGCGAGCGCATTAAGCGCGACCTCAGCCGCCGAGTGCTCCGCCTGCCTCAGAGTCGTGCAATAGTTCGGACACTCAAAAGTCTCACCATTGAAGTTCACGGTTGCCTTGAACCTCGGCGCGTGATCGGGACCTTCTCTTATGCACGTGTACGACGGCAAGTTAAAGCAGCTCCGTTGAGCCAGCTCTTGGAGCTGGTTCTTATACATCTCTCCAAAACCAAATTTCTAAACCTTTTCCTTTTTCTTTTCCGATTGATCGGAGCCTCAAAATCGATTTCGAATTGGTTTATTCAGCTCAGATCGGAACATTTTCTAATCCTGTATTGACATTGTTGATCACTTAACCTCAGCGGTTCTCTTCGATCGGAGGTTTCTAGGGTTTTGAAGCACATATAACGTTTGTGCATATGTAGAGAGAGAGTTTTAGAGTGAGAAAATAAAGAGAGATTGTGCAACTAAGAGGAGAGAGAGAGATTGAGAGATTGGAACTTAGAAAACAACGAAGAGAGAGAGAGAAAAGTACAGTAAGTATTTAATTTAGTGGTGATGAGATTAGGAAGTGGTCGCCCTCATGATAAGACATGTAACGGATTAATATGAACCGTTAGATACTATTTTACGAAGACAGAACTAATCGCATGGTAGAAATGCGAGGGGTTATTGTGGGATGGTTACCAGGGGAATACAGTTTCGAAATTGGTTGTGGGTTGATATAGGGAACTTGTCTTTACTAAGCTGACTAGTGTAGATAAGTGATTAATAAACACTTATTAAGATTTTATTTTCCATTATTTTTATGATAATAAATTAAAGAGGAGGGCCATTACGAGGGCACCCTTTTTAAAAAAAAAAAAATACAATCCAATTCGGTCTTCGAGTATTGAAACTGTTTATCGTATCGTTTATTAATTTATTAGTTATTACTTGTGTCTAAAAACACAAAATAATAAAAAATAATAAACAATAAATATATTTGTATTCATATTCACAATTAAATTACAAACATAGAGAAGAGATAAATGAATTTAAATATTGATTTGTAGTGGGGGGTGGGAGGTGGTGGACGACAATGGTGGTAGTAAGAGATGGTGATAATTGCGGTAGATGACAATAACCGTGATGGCGGTGGTGGGGGTGGAGGCGGCGACGACGGTGGTGGTGGTAGCGATGGTGATGGCGGTAGAGGTAGTGACAGAACAATTTCAAACATTATATTTTTTTTTAAAGTATTTATGAGAAATAATTTCTAAAAATACTTTAAAGAGTTACTCTAAGCACACCCTAGACTCTATTTTTACTATTAAATTTAGAGTGTTAATATTAGCCGTTAGACTAACTTTAAAGTAAAATTTAAAGCGATTTCAACCGCGAATAGCAAAAGTTATTTTGTTTATCTTTTGATATTTGAATTGTAAGTTATTTTATATTAATTTATGTCTAATTAGTACATAAATGAGTCATGTCATATATTTTTTTTGATTAATTTTATATATACTCAATTCGTTTATTAATTGTGTCGTTTCAGATCTACTCTTTTATAAAATGGGTGATTTAAAGAAGATTCAAACTCTCTAATTCTATATAATATTTGTGATATGTTAATGAATCGTATCGTATTTTAACACTTTTAATTATTCCTAATTGAGAGAAAAAAATAATCAAACACCAAAGTTTGAAAATATATATATATATATATATATATATATATATATATATATATATGTATATATAATTTCCGGTATCGTAGTTCTACCTCGGTCATGCACGCTAATATTATAGCAGTATTATGTAAATTGAATTTGACACTTCCACCCTTTTGATGTGCATTGGGAAAAAATATTTTGGTAAATAATTATGTGGAAAAGTCAAAGTGCAATTGTGACTTTGGTCAACAGAATTAAAGGCAAGTTGGTGTGGAACTTTAATATGCATGACAGTTTCCAGGGGCGTATTGAGCTTAGGTGGTGGGACCACCTTGTTGCTTAAGTGGAATCCAACATTCATTAGTTTGATTTTAAAGAGATGTCATGTTCTAAAATTAACGATGGTCAATATTGATTTATGCATTGTTTGGTAGGAATGATGGAATGTAAAAGAGATATATTATTTATTCTCCAAGAAAAGAAAATAAAAATGATACACTTTTTTTTTTTTTTGTATTTGGTTGAATGAATGAAAAATAAAAATTACTAATTTTTTTTTTTGTGATGGCTAAGATTAGGGATGATAATCAAGTCAGGTCGTGTCAGATTCGTATTGAGTCATTACGGATTTGTGTCGGACATTAGTCACACTTAACTCAACTCATTTAACTAATTATGTCGTGTTGTGTTGAGTTATGAGTTGACCTGTTTATTTTTGTGTTCGAGTTAATCAAATTCATGTTATAAAATTCGTGTCGAGTTCGAGTCGTGTCATCATATTGAGTCAAAAATTTTCATTCCTAGTTAAGATGAAAAAAATATTTTTTTAATTTAAAATTTTTTTTTTAATTTTTTTTTTAAAATATATATATATAAAAACATATTTTATTATTATATTTTACATGAAATTAATATATACATAATATATGTATATATAAAAAGATATATAAACAAATAAGATACATCTCAATACAAATAATTAACTTTTCATCTACTTTCTTTTCGATTTTAGAGAGTTTGATTTTGGTGAGTTGGAAGGAAAGTTAATTCATCTACTTTTTCATCCTTCATATTTTTCATCCTTACAAAACATGATGTTAATTTTGATCAAATTTGATACAATAATATAAAATTAGGTTAATTGTATCATAAGTTCATAAAGTATGTGATTTGTCTCGTTTTAGTCATAAATATTTCAATTGCATCATTTTAGTCTCTGAAGTATTGAATATATTTTTATGTAGTCCCTCAAGTAGACAACGTGCAAATTATTAATAATTTTTTATTATAAACTTGTCGTATGGTATACTTAAATATAAGTAAAAATAATAATTTAGATAATTTTTAATCAAATTTTAGTTAAAAGTTACCTATATTACATATTTTAGTCAATACTAACCCAAATTTTGGTTAAGGGCTACCTAAATTATTTATTGTCTATATTTATGTATTATGAGACGAGTTATGATAAAAAACAGTTAGCAATTTAAAAGTTATTTGTTTGATAGACCACATAAAAGCATATTCAATACTTCAGAGACCAAAATGATGCAATTGAAATATTGAGGATTAAAATGAGACAAATCTCATACTTTGAGACCTCCAATACAATTAATCCTATAAAATATATCTCAATATTTTTTTCATATTCAATATTTTTCTTTTTACGATTCTCAATGTTAAACAGTTCAACCAACACACTCTTTAAAGTCAAACAATCTCATTAATTTACACATATCCCTCTTTTCTCTCAACCTTATATTTCTTTTATTTTTTCTCTGTTTATTTTTTCTAAAATAAATTATATAATTAAAAAATTATTTAAAATATAAATATTACATGATCAATGTTTAATTTTTAGTATTACATAATGTCCTCAAACACAAGATTATTACTACTTTATTTAGTATTACAACAAAAAAACCGAATTCTCAACTTATAAAATCAGAACAACGATTAAGATTGATCTAAATTTTATCTATTTTGATCCAATAATATTAAATTCATATCAAAAATTTTTTTGCCTCTTAAAAATATCATATTTTTACACGACTTCCAATGTCTAACAACTCATCTAACATATTCTCCAATATTAGACAACCCACTAATCCAAACAAATGAAAAAGATATTGCATCGTCAATTGAAGCGTTATCATCAAGGATCAAAATTTTATTTCAATGTATTTTTTCGATCACCTAAGAAACGAAAACATTTCAACATGATTCAAAAATGTTTTAATCTGTTTCGAAAACATAATAAAAAATAAAAAATTTAAAAATTATTTTTCTAAAATATTAATCAACAATATATCAAAATATCTTAAAACATTCCGAAACAATTATATAAATGCATTAAAACTTTACAAAATATCTTGAAATATTATGAAACACCTCAAAATATTATAATTTCAATTTTATCATTAATTCGTTTCAGTCTCCTTAAAAACGAAAATATTTCAGATATTTCAAAATTTTGATCTGTAGTTATCAGAGCTTAAGTTCACAGAACAAAATCGTACAAAGATGGAAACTTTTGTTACAGTTCATCGGTCCAAACCCCTTTTGCTAGAGGGCAGCAGAGATCAGCTCTTGGAATTGCCATTCTGTAAGTTCCATCATGGTTTGATCACATGAAGGAGATCATTAAATCACAGATGATAGAAGACCCAGACCCGAGGGAAGGGGAGGGGGAATATACAAAAAATGTATGTAATTTTGCTCAGCCTTCTATATCAAAACTCAATTCTTTTCTCCAAAAATAACTTTCCTCCGAAAATAATTTCACATCTACGTGGTATGCAATGAAACCAGAAACAGAAAAGGCAAAAATGGATCTGATGGCGGATTATATGCTGCTACAAGTAATCAAGACCATCAACAAGCTTAAGTCCCCAACTCATATCTTCACAATGCCTCACATGAGGTACAAGCGAACCTGTGTCTATACCTTTCTTGGCCTTGCAGTCATACAAGGGAGGAGCATGAAAACAAGGCTCTATTGACATGGCTGCACGACAAGGTGGATTTGGAGCTGTCCTATTCTCAGGCTTGTATAAAATCCATGGTCTCAAACCTCCAAGGCCCTGTGCCACGTAACCAAATGTCGACCACAAGCTAGTGACCAACGTATCAGTCAAACTGAGGAGATACATTTCCGCCCATGCCTTTCTGTTGTGCATCTTCTTCTCAGTCTGTTGGTATTCTTCATGGCTAGGCTGATAAACACTGATCATCTCCCCAGTCACGGTGGGGTGTTCCCAGTATATCGTCCTTATATTCTCAGAGTACCCTGCATTCAAAGATGTCACTAAGACAGCTTTTGATTTCTGATTCTTGAATGGTGTGGTGACAGACTCTCGTGTATTAATCTTAGGAAGTAAGTCCTCATTTAGAGTACAGGCTAAAATTTGATCCATGACATATTGAAATGGTCCAGTTCCAGTGTCAAACACTCTTATTTGGATGCCAATCCGCTCATCTGACTTGGCCAAGTAAGCTTGATAGTACCTGGTAATTAATCCCCATACTTGATTTGAGGGATGGAAAAGATACCAACCCAAGTGGTGAAAAACAAATTCTTTCTCAGGAAACAAATTGGTAAGTTCTTGCTCGAAAGATGGGATTAAGAAGAGAGATGGGACAAAGTAGTTATCCGTTTTCATGATCAACCAAGGGACTTTTTTGAGAAGAGTTTGATCTTGATCGCAGAAGAACAGTTTGTCATGATCACCATAATCATGAACAAGATGGAGATATAGAAACGGGGGTTGTGACTTTTTCGAATAATCTACGGTGCCGTTCTTCAGCATATTCCCATAACATTGAGGAGAATTCTGATCAAACCTTTTGAATTGTTTTGTGATAGGAAAGTCCATTGGTAGTAACCATGATATCTCTGGAAATGGCTCACAGAAGAGATCAGCCATGTCTTTTCCACAATCTACAAGAAGAACTCGGTTTGTGAGGAGAGCATAAAGGAATGCTGAAGCCAGAGTTAGTATCCTATTGCCCAAACCACTAAAAGATACCCATACTATATATGAACAGTCAGCGGGATGAGCGCTCTGACCAGAATTGAGCAGTTCCAGCGATCCGTTAAAGGATTTGGTAAGGGGGTCCACAGCGTTTATGGAGATCCTCATAGTCTTGCAGTTTGGAAAGAAGCTAAGAAGAAGGCTTATGCGAGGAAGTTTTGCGATACAAGGCAGACTGATACCTGCTTAAGCAGGATTCTTCATCAAATCCAGCAGCAAGAAGTCCACCAAGCAGTTTGTCTTTCAGGGTGTCAACAACTTGAGAAGAATCATCTCCTGAGCCTGTAAATTTGAAAAAGAAAAGTGAATCGCGTTACAAAATGAGACAACTAACAACTTGAATTATAGAACAGGTAATTCACAGAGTATGAGGTTACTTTTTCTGCAAAATTTTGTCAATGATTGAAGACAGTTTTGTCTCAATAATTCTGAATGTGGGAACAGAAACAAGGATTTGAACAATAACATCATATCCCACACAGAATCATTAGAATTATGTGCTCAACCATGATATTCACATTTCTAATTAAAAAATAATAAGAAAATTACATCAACATCTGAAAAGTTATTCAAGATGATGATGATGATGATGTTTTCTCACTCTAGAAAAAGAATGAATTCTTTTTGGCAATCCCTCGACAAGAGTATACTGTCTCATAACTCTTTCACAACTGATTTGTTAGAACTATCTGTATGTTGCCAACTGGAAAAGACCATAGCAACTGAATACCCCGGGTTGTATCACTGAAATTGAGGGCCCAAGAACCATAACTACAGAAAAAAATTGCTAAGGAAATTGGAACTCGGTACTTCAGCCCTTTGAATAATTAAATCACGCTGCAGCTAAAGGCTCAAGTGTTGTAACAATAGCTATTAATCAGGCAGTTCGACAAGTAATAGTTCAACCTCGATTCAATCTAAGACTTTAAACTATACAGGAAATCATTTTATCTTTCACTTTGCCCCCTTGTAGCCACCAAGAAAAAAGGAAATGGAAAAGGGTAAAAAATGAAGACTTCAAGAATTACGATGCAGCCATGTCCATATCATGATAAACTCAATCATTTTTTAGTGTAATAGAACCCAGGATGAATTGAATCTCATGCAATGATTTATGTACAGTTCGAATTTGTGAATTGACCAACTATGTTTAGAATTTAAACCTGTACTTGCAAGATTCTAAATGTTTTGAAGTTTGAACAATCATGAACCAAGACATCACCTAAAAATTGTCACATATTTACTTAATTACTAAGAATCAGAATTTTAACTCGTGAATCATCCCTTGTTCTTTGGGACCGATACTCAATTGTTCTCATCTGTCTATTAGGATGGTGTTACATATGCTCAAACACCTAAGGGGGAGTGGGATGAACCATTACCTATGCCATAGAAAATGAGAATCCAGATTGCCCATATGCAGGCAATTTATGCCTCTTGAGAAGTGTCTCTAGGGTTATAATTTGTAAATACGGCAGTTTTTTCTCTACTACCCTATGAAAAATTATTCTCAGGCCGCTTTTACACTTCTTTTGTTCTACAGGACCTCAACTCATCTCAACAAAGCCTGCCTTAATCCCAACTATGTGCAGTTAGTTACATGAATCCTGTTTCTCTATTGTACTATCATCTCCCATAATGTTATTAAATTTAGCCCAAATTGAATATTAAGAAATGAAAGACCGAATGATCTCCGTAAAACTTATTTTTTCCACCATCTATGCCATCAAGGGTGAGGATCAGTTGGACAATCTAACTGCATATGTGCTGTTGATCAAAACGGCATCGTTTTCCACCAAAATGACGTCGTTTTGTTAAATTGAACGAACTTGCTTTGGTGAAAAATGACGATGCTTTGATCAACCAGAGGAACCGGACCCACCCATCACCATCCTCAAATATATGGAGAGTGGACGTCATGCAAAAAGGTCAAACCAATTTCCATAATGCAATATTATATTTGTATTATACTTCTAATAAGAAAATACTATTTAAACCTAATTTGATACTTATTCTAGGACCTAATCAATAATGGATTGTCTTTCTAACATTGAAACTTACAACTAATCAAATAACTTTATTAAATTAGGTAGATATTAGGTCCCGTTGCCCTTTCTAATATACTTCTAATATACTTCACAAAGAGCAATGCTACAAAATCTAAATGAAACTAAAACAATTACAACCTAAATGCATATCATTATCATCCATTTGATGAGTGAGTCTCATCAATTTTTTCAGTAGAACTCGCTCATTCAAAACAATGATATACATTTACATTTTAACTTTTGGTTTCATTTTAGTTAGGTAGAATTTTCCCTCCACAAAAGCCCCAACTACACTGACAAGCATTAAATGCTTCCTACATGCAATTAAAAGAAATTTAAAATTAATCCAGAGATGAAAATAAACACAAACACCCGTATGCACGACTTAGTCTTCAAAAACAACACAAATGTTCACCATGAACATGATCATTCATCAAAATAGGCATAAAAACATTAGAAATTTGATTTTACCTCGTCCCAGTGATGCAAGTTCATTAGCACTGGCTTCAAAAACCCGGTCTCCTACGAACCCACCGACACGATCGGATTGTAGGTTTTGACAAATCATCAAAACAGTGACCATAATTGGCAAACCAACCAACCAGACGGCCAATATCTTCACCCACTTCATGTTATCAAACTCGGAGTTTCTTTGCAGAGAATGGAATGATCACTGGGCATTGGCGCAAAGGATTAAGATACATCCCATCAGTGGCCGAGTAGAAATAATTTGTTTCGATCGAGAACAGTTTTAGTTTTAGAATTTTGATCTTTGGGTGTTGGGTTTTGTGGAATAAGCAGTTCGTAATAGAATAGAGAACAGTTCCGATGCAGGTTTGGAGGACCTCGTTGCCGATTCAGATGAACATGTTCTTCTTGGACGACTCAAGGTGGACTACTATGAAAAAAGATGGAAATTGGACAAGGGGGAATGTCGGTCTTGACTCTTGTAGATGCACCAAACCAATTATTTGCAGTTCTGCCACTTGGTGCTTCGTACGTTTTATTCTCACATGTACACAAAGGTATAAAAAAGTTTATATACCACCTTCCCCAAAAAAAAAATTATATACCAAATGTCATTTTTTTTTTTCAGTTGTTAAGAATGTTCCTATCTCTAGTTCAGTTAAACACAATTCATCTAAATTAAAATTAAAATATTACGAAGAACAAATTAAAATTTATTATTAGAGAATTTTACTGATTTAAGATGTCTAAGAATTATCATCCTGCTGGGATTATCTCTTAGAGTCCGTGTGATTAAGAAGAAAAAAATTATGAAAAATAAAAATAATAGAAAGTGAAGTAAAAGAAAAAAAAATAATAGAAAATATATTTTCATACATGTATTTGGTTAGAATGAAAAATTTACCGCACATTTTAAAAAAAAATGCATTCTTTGAAAGAAAAAAAAAGTTATAAGAAATTTTTTATATTGGTCTAAATTACCCTTAATTATATTAAATCGGTCTCAAAAAGAAAAAATATGTAATTATAATTGAAATTTAAATTTTTTTTAAAAAATAGTTCGAAACTTAATTTTAAGACAATCACCAATATAAAGATCTTTGGGCTAAATTATATAATTAATCAAATTCATACAAAAAAAATGTAAATTAATAACCAAAAAAATATTTTAAGAAAAATAAGGGTAAAATAGGAAGTTAGTTATAGATCATAACTTTCTCGTATTTCTTTATACTTTTTACAAGAAAAAAAAGTTAATTATTTGTCAAAAAATTTAAGCATGAAATAAAATTATTTTTTTCATAATTTTTTTTTTCATGCTAACCAAACACATGAAAATTTTAAAAAATTTATCTTTTTTGTTTTTTCAATCATTCTCCCGCTAAACGAACAAATATTGAGCTAGTCTGTCAATAGTTCTAGGAGTTTATCTAGAAGATTACATTTGTTTCGATTTCATTTATCTTGTACTGACTTATTATATAAAGACTATATGGGTTGGATTCCAAATTATCTTGAGACATCCTTTATTCTCTACACAGAAAGTAATCTCAATTTACCTTCATTTATAAGAGATCCCTCGTTGTCGGGCTTGAAGGAATTGTCAAGATTGAAACTTAGGACGTGTGAGTTTATAATTCATTTATGTTATCACTTGAACTATTTCTTATGATTTATTTATCAAATATCAACTTGAAATATATGATGAAAGCCTTTTTATCGAGGATTCAAATTGCGAAAATAGTTTATTTATATGTGGATTAAAGTTGCGTACATTCAACTATTTTTAAATCTCACATTGGTGTGAGTTTCGTACACTCGAACTATTTTTAGACTAGAATCAACAAATTTAGTACATAAATTGACAAGTAAATAGTGAGTTGAGGTGGTAAACACATTTCAACGGACCTATTAAACAAATGATTAACATTGACTCGATTATGCACAACATAAACTTGACACAAATGTATTTATACACAATTACAAATGAAAAAGGTTGGATAAAAACTAAGTACATTTTGACATTATCTAACTTAGATAGAAAATGATTCATTTACTATGTATTTGTAGTTCTCCATTAAAAAAAGTTAAAATCTTTCACTACAAGTTGATAGGTGCTATCCAATGGATAAAACACCCCCACTTCTAATATGGACATCACGGATTCGAAAGCTCACCTCACTTTCTGTATTAATACTGAAAAAAAAAAAAAGAACTAGGAATTGAGGAAACAAATATTTAATAATCTATAATTTTATGTGGTTTGGTAATATTTTTTAAATTTATTTTTAAATAAATATTTTATATCTGCTTACTATTTTTCAAGAGTGATTGTATGCGAATATAACAATAGCCTTTACACATTTTGTATGTATGTGCACTATTATAAACATAACTAATTTAAAAAAAAAATTAGAGTAAGTCCTAATAAAAATAAAAAAGATATGCTAAAAATATAATTAAACAGTACCATGTATATTGCAACTAAACTATTTAATCCATCTACTCTAATTTGTCTAAAAAATAAAAAAGAAGAAAAAACAAAAGAATTTTTCATTGTGTTGCCTTTAGTTTAGATATAGTATTTGTCTTGCAATTTATTTATTCAAATATCATAACTTAAAATTATTTAAAAATGATCATTATTTAGAAAAAAAGTGTGTTTTCCAAACACACTTATTCGTGAAAAATGGGATTTTACAAAACATACTTTGGAATGTTTATCATTGGAAGCGTGCTATCAAAACATGATTTTTTCATTGAATTTTGTATTTTCAAATCATATATTTGGAACTAAATTACCCCTAAATTTGTAATTGTCATAGTTTATTCTCTGGATTAAATAATTGTAATTGACCTATTTTGTTATGATTTACTATTAAATGATAGAAATTAACAATTAATCTCAATAAATTTAATTTATTTAAAATTTAATTTTAACAAAATCTCTCTCATTTATCCGTTAATTTAAACGGAAAATGTCGATGAAAATAAATTACATAATACAGAAAAAAATGAAAACAATTAAAAGTTTAGGGGCAATTTAAAATAAATATTATGGAACGACGTCGTTGCCTCTTGTTCTTCGCGTTTGTAAATATCCAATCGTCGGTCTCAAGCGCTATAGGAGTCGCTCTGAGCACACCAGCAATGGCGCTGAGGACGGCGATGGTAAGAAGCTCCGGCGTGCAACTGAGGTCTTTGTTCGGGTTCAGAAGCTGGACCCACAGCCTTGCCCAACCAGCACCGTTTGATACTGCTATCAATCACACAACCACATCGCCGCCGTTGTTTTTGCTTGAGTTTGATCGAAGCTCGGAGAACAACAACAAGGGCAATAGCATTGGAATTGGGTTTCCAAGTTTCTCTTTTGGTTCTGGATCTATGGACCTCATGGCTGTACCCAAGAAGAAGGTAACTTATCGCTCCACTTCGGTGCTTTCTTAAACACTATAGTAATTCGCCATGAGTCTCTCTCGTCTGGTGTTTTAGTGATTGAATCCTTCTAGAAATTATTAATTGGGTAATGTATTTGGTTGATTGCTGATCATTCCTAGTATTTTTCTATATTGACCAAATTCATTGGAAAATGTGTTTTGTTTGATTTTTCGTTGGGCATGGTTTCATCAGGGTTTAGGGTTTTGGGTGATATTGTGGTGCTAATACATGAAAGCTTACCTTTGTTTTTTTGGGGAGATTTGGCTTGATTTGGTTACATTTTCTGATGTTTTTGTGGTTGTTCGATTGTTTCAGTATTGAATTTGTGAAGTTTAAGAATCTGTTTTTGATCATATTTTGTTTTTAGTATTGTCATCCATGTTCTTGGGTTTTGGTTGCAATATTAGTATCATCATTCATCAATAATCTGTACTGGACACACTGATTTTGGTCTTGGTCCTTGATTGATATCATCTATTACGGAACTCTTCTGTATGGATCTATTTTAGTGGCGTATTGACTCACTGTCTTTGCAAATCTAGGTTTTAAATTATCTTCTTGTGTATCAATGAATTTTTCGTGAACATATTGTTTGAGTGTTGATGGCGAAGAGTTCTGAAAAGTCTTTGACATTTGTTTTTCTCTTTGTATCATCTCTGCTAAAGCCTTTACTCTTCTTACTGTAGTTGATCGACAAAAAATGTATCTTAGTGGTGTGCATTTATTATTGTGTTATCGTTAATTGTACTTTCTCACACTATATGTCAAGTTTTAGCAGCAGAATTGTAGTTGGCTGGGAAATATTTCAAATTTGAGCAAGTAGCATATGTTCGTCAAGTGCATGCAAGCGATTAATGAGACTCCATTTAACTTGCAGGTTTCTCCCCACAAAAGAGGCATCAGAAATGGACCAAAAGCTTTGAAACCTGTTCCAGTGATTATCCGTTGCAAGTAAGGGTTCATTGTTAAAGTTTTTTGAACACTTTCATTATTAAAGTTGGCAAGTTAAAATTTATGTTCATAAGGTAATTTTTGCCTATACACGAGATGAAAAGGAAGTTTGTGGAATTTCAGAGTGTGATATGGCTAATTCGTTGGGAAACATGTTCATTAAATAATTTCTCATTTTATAGTATAAACTTATCGACATTCCCTCCCCTCCCTTTCCCTTTTATGCTTCCAAAATTTGAATCAAAAAGATAATTACGACCAAATCTCAGATAAATTATGTTCTCGAAATTCTAATTATCTTGTTTGCTCAATGGCAGAAGTCCAATGCAAATGCTTTAAGAGAAAACATAGGCTCATTCTAAATGCTATTTAAAACTGAGGGATGATTTCATTTCACTGCCATTCCTAACTTCCTCACTGGTTGAATATAAATATATGAAGTTTGTTTTTTTTTAATCATTAATTCAATCTAAGCTCATTTTTTTGCCTGCTTGTTATGCTTCATTTTTTTGAAGAATCTTGTCATAGAGATTGTCCAGTGTCATCTATATATGGACTGACAGTAGGTAATATATCTTTTGAAGATTATAATTTGAGCTATTTTGTATGATAGGTTCTGATGGTTCATAAAAGCATAATACATGCATTGTGCATGTTGCAGAGTACCATCAAGAATGAGTAGTTTAGTTTTATGATTTGTAGGATTCTGAAAAATTTGATCCTCATGCTGTGGATCATTTATTGAAAAATAATATTATTTGTTTACTGTTGGTTTCATGTGTATTGTGAATGAGATTGTCTTTAGGCCATCGTACTACTCGAAACATGACAAAAACAGAGGTGAAAAAATAGAAGGTATGTTGTTGGAGAGTCTAATTTTGTAGGTTCCACTATTATGTTTTGATACAGGGGTTCACTGGTTATTGATTAAAATTTGGCCCCAATAACTTTAAGGTTGTAGGTTCGAACATCAGGACAGCCACTTTGTGCAAATATTGAGGTCTGTACCCAACCTACCCATCTCAAACCTGATGGTGACTAGACTTGGTGTTTGTTTTTGTTACGCTAATCCACGTGCAATAGTGAATTCTAATTGTTGGGAATAATATCACATATGTTGAACTAAAATGTCATGTTACATATTGATATTTTGGGCTTCTTGATATAAGTGTACAATCTCTCTCTCACCCGCACTCCACCCCTTCCAAAAGAAAAAAAGAAAAAAAAGCAACCCAAGGCATGCATGTGCGAGAAAAAGGGGAAAAAAAAAGTGATGAAGGGAGGAAATGTATATGGTTCTGTTGGTTTCTAAAGTATAAAGAGTGTGTTACTAGGATACCGCAGGGAGGTAATCTATAATTTATCATTTATATAGTGATGCGGAGTCTTCCACTCCCAAGTATCATGAAGTATACTTCTGGGTATATTTGGCATGTGAATCTCACTTTTGGTAGTGGATAAATAGTTGTCTCACCCTTTGATTATATTTTGTTTATTGTCAGTATTTTGCATATATGTTGATTGTCAAAAATCTATATTGCATATATACAGGGTTTGTGGTCGAGTCAAGCTGCCACACTTCTATTGTTGCAGTGGGATTAAGGAAAATACCAGTGAACGGGAAGGCTCTACAAGTTGATCAAGTCCATTACTGAAGGACCATTGAACTTTGGTCCGCCGTAACAGTTGTAATGTTGGGTTTAACCATTTTCCATGTAAAACTCATGGCATTGTTCAGAACTTCAAATTTTGCTATCTAAGAGTAGTCTCTGTTCTATGAATGATTTATTTTTTGATCAATTGTTATTCATTGTAAACCTTCAGCTTGGAAAGTTGTGGTACGTGGGAATATGTTGGAAAGCTTAACTTGTAATTGGAGCACCAAATCATTAAAGATGGGGGTTAAGGAGGAGAAAAGATTCAAGGTAACAACGATATTACGTCATCGTTGACACGTGATATCATAGGTTAATTACCAAACAACACATAGACTTGGTGGATCTCACTATTTCAGTAACTTTTGGTAACTACCAACTACAATAATTAACAAGTTAAAAAAGTGGGAATTCACTAAGTAGACATGATGTTTTATCGATGATGTGATATTATGTGTTGTCGATGATGTGACATCATTGTTATACTCAATATTACTTTAAGAGGGGTTTAGCCGTGTGTGTGTGTGTGTGTTTTTTTTTTTTTTGGTACAATGGAAAAGAAAAAAGGGTCAAATTGACCCCTAACAAAAGGAGTGCCGGACAAATCAACATTGAACGGTGCCCCAATTTGGCAAAGAAATTTCTCCAGTTCCACATGCTCTTGTTGCTGTGAATCTGTAAGATTACCAAGTATATTGTTGTAGTATCATCAATTCTTCCTAGAAAGCCTCCACAATAGTACCCTTAGTCATCCCTTATGAGATCATGTTAAATAAGTCGTATTTTTCATAAAAAAAAGAATGAAGTTCTATCATATTTCTAATAAATAAGGCATTCAAGTTCTATTTTTCATAATTTATTCCAAATTAACTTAAGTATGTATTCATCATCTTTCTTCTGATTTCACCCTTTCTCATTAAACCATTAATTAAAAGAAAAAATCATCAATTATTTATTAAACATCGACATTGTTGTTCAAAATTTCTTGATAAATTTTTATTTTTTAAAAGTCATAAATAAATATGTGATGCCCCTAAAATCGGGAGTCTTTTATTAACCATTGATCATCTATCAACCTGCAGAAAAACCCGTGATTGTTGCACAACCCGACATCACGTCAATAGTATCCCTATAATCGAGATCATAACTCAAACGTGTAACCTTTATACACTTTATCATTTACTAATTCATGGTTCTTTATACATCAATTTAGAGTCATTAACATCCCTCTTTGAGTATAAGGAATTGATGCCCGAAAACTTAGTAAAACATTTACAAATTTTGAAGTTTAAAGAAAACCTACTAGTAGAAGTGTTCAAAGTTCTACCGATAGAAGTTGTGCGCTGGACTTCAATTTTTAGAAAATCTGTGAAAACTTACCTGTAGAAGAAGTCCCTGTTCTACCGGTAAGAGAACCCTACTAGAAAAGTTCTATCGGCTAAACCTATCGATTGAAGCTGCTTATTGGACCACATCTACCGGTAGAAGAACCAAAAGTTCTATTGGTAGGTGTGCCCAGTTTTGCCCATTTCATCCATTCCAACTCATCCCATATTAATCTGAACACATGTATGATGACGTTTTACATTCAACATAGTTAATATAAGTTCGATTACAATCCATTGCATATGATTGAATGCTCAAAACTAAATTACATAAAAGTTTCACAAACTATGGTTTAAAAGCCACTAGTCGACTTTTCTTCAACAATGAGGGCCCGAGTGAGAGCCGTCCATCGACGCATATCCCGCACCTAAAATGTTGTCCCCATAAAGGGTGAGTCACGCTCAATAGGGTATCTCCTAAAGAGGTTACTCCCCAATCTAGATGTATATGAAATGTTCACATGCAAATTCAACAAGCAACAATTATCCATTTAAGAATATGCAATTCAATGATGAATCCTTTATGTCATGCCATATTATGAAATGAGATTCAAACATGCAATTCAACCCGAACCTTTACCGGCTCCCATCACCCATGCAATGTCATGAGTATAAAATTGGGCATTACAAGCCCTTACCATTGATGTTGAATATCTAATGACCTTTTTAAAAATAAACCATGTGTCTTTATTGGGTAGCGGATTTTGGTGTCTCACCGCTGGTTTTGCACACTGATACATTTTTTTGGACTTTCGCTGACGGAAGTGTATAAACCAGTAATCAGATCTTGCACCCGAGGGAATATCTAGCCCTTCTTACTATACATGACCCAAGTTTTTCATGCAACCGTGCGACTCTGTTGAACCTTGGTCCGACTGTACCGAGCTCACTTATCAACCACCAAAGATAGTGTTTGATCCAATAACATGCACACACACCCACACTCATATCCAATGCCCACGAATGCAATGTTTTTCATGCTTATGCAAATGTGTATGTACAATTTTTAATTCTCATCATTATGCAACTAAGATCTCAATTACAATTTTAACAACATATTCCATATGTCATGTGCACAATATGAACATTTCAATAACCATCAATAATCACAATGTCAATATATCATATGCATATACCAATATCAATTCCAAGTATGTTATTCCATAATCTATGCCAATAACGCACTTAATTCACAAAGGCACAATATACACACATAGCATACCCACATAACACCATTTTTCAAGAAATTACAAGGTAGCAATTTCTACACACAATTTAAGTTAGAATTTATTTTTACCCATTTTCAATACCTATTTCATCAATTTAACAACAATAGGCAAGTGTTATACATCTCTAACAACCTATTCATTCCATATCACAACCCTAAGTTAGAAATAAACCTTTATAGGGAGAAAATCTTCCCTCTTGAAGAGTAAAACAAAGGTAGAAAGCCTTCAAGAACACTAATGAAGCCTTAGGCATTGATTTTTCCAAAATTCTATTTTTGAATCTTCGGTAAAATCCGTCCTTTTTTTGTATAGTTGTGTAGCCCTCGACGAGGAGAACAAATTTTGTTCTTGGCTTGAGTCGATTCGAGCAATGTAGCGGCGTAGATTGTAGAAAGAAGGTAGAGTTTCCCTATCTTCTTTCTATTTTTGGATAATCTGATGGTTATGGGAAGAAATCTGATTTTCTTTCCTATTTATACCCTTTAAGTGCTTGGTCCACATCGCACCACATGTTCCCCATTTTCGGGTCCGATTTCATACCAAAATTATTAAATTTTGTCCCGATTCAAGTTCAAAATATTTTTATATAAACTTTCTTTAAATTATTTTCTAACTATAGAAAATTTTACTCCATATCTCGTTTTTAGGTCACACAACACTAAAAACACAAAAAATATCTCGATTCAAGTTCAAAGAGACTGTTTCGTAAAACGCAAAAAATTTAACTGTCTCAGAATTCAACGAAAATTGACTGGGTAACTAGACTTCGCAAGATGAATCGAACAGTGAGATCCGTTTCATCATCCGAGTTCTAAAAAAATTTAGATTTTTAACCCGTACCATAGTGACAAATTACTGTTTTGCCATTTTTCATAAAAATTCAAATTTACCCTGATTTTGCAAAATATGTTGGATGCCTCTAAATATATAGAGTTTTTCTGATAGTATTGCAACTTCAACTGATTCACCTTTTTTTTTATTTGCTAGAACTTGATTGCAACTAATTTTGTTGGACACTAAATCGGCTTAATAATTTTTTTTCAAGAGTAAAATTAAGAAACTCAATTGTTTTACATCCTTCATGTCAACAGTTAATTTAATGACTACGATGCTCTAAAAATTCTTCATTGGATTAGAGAGCTTTTGATCAAATCCGGCCCCCATTTAAACTTTATTTTTAAACCCAGTCACTTTTAAACTTATTTTTCAAACTCAATCTTTTTTTAAAAATTTCATTTCAAATGACGTCTTCTTGGTTTAAAACGTCATTTAAAATGACAGTTTTAACCTTGACAAAACTAAACAAATATTGTGATAATTAAGGAATAAAACGTCATTTACAGTGATGCTTTTGAAAATATTAGTTTGAATTACATTTTTAAATTACTATTTTAAACGGCTTGGCAACGGTGTTATGTGAAACTAAAAAAAATCATTTAGAATGATGACTTTAAATGTATCATTCCAAATGACAATTTACACAAATAAAATCAGAATCAATTTTTTCAAATCACAGAAGGCTTAGGTCAATTTTTTTTTTTATAAAAAAAATCCACCCTCTCTCAGATCCCTCTCTCCTCCCCTCCAACCATTCACCCACCCACCATCTTCTCTGACGAGGAAGACCACTCCGACGAAAAAGACCACTCTGGCGAAGTAACTTAACTCTGGTAACATATATTTTCTTCGGTGGTGCTCTCTGTAGAAGTCCCCCCAATTTAGATCACCATCTCCTCTCCTCCGACAACTGTGAAGGTATTAGCTCTCTCTATCTCTCTTTTTGTATCTCTATCTAAAAAGTTGTGTAATTTTTTGTTCTACTCTTCGGGTTCTAGAATACTAAGACGACCAGTCAGACCACCACGCTACCGAAGCTATTGTCAAGGTTTTTTCCTCTCTTTTTCTTTGTTTGTCTGTCTGTCTCTCTCTTTGTATTTGAGTAAATATAATTGTAATTTAGTTGGATGTAAAAATCATTATTCTAAGATAGTTACTGTAATAAAGTTCTAAAAATCAGTATTCTAAGACTGAGGAAGGTTTTGGCTTGTTTATTCCCTTTTCAAACTTTGTATTCAAGGATTGTCTTAGGTCGATTTCCCTCTGTAGTATACTAGTATTAATGCTACTCTTATCTGTGCTCTGATTTTATCATTCCAAAATTTCAAGTTTGATGCAATGGGCATGTTCATTTTGCCTTAGGAATAAGATTTCGTACATCTAACTCTCTTAAAACTCTATATTGGTGAGAGTCAGATGACCAATATTTTGTACTATGCAATTTATCAAAAAGATGTGCAACAGGTTGTTCTCTAGTTGTAGTGGTCTAGTGAACTTGTGCTTTCGAAGAATTGATACATTATGTGTGCTCCTGAACTCATTATTTGACTCCTATTTTTCTCTGTTACATCTATGCATTCATATCCGAGTGCCAAGTTTGGCCCACATAGACGCACGATTTGTACAAGCAATTGAGATATAGTCGTGTCGTTCTTGCTTGGTAGGAGTGTCCATGGGCTAGGTTACCCACGGGTCCCGTTACCCAACTCGAAAAAAATAAGTTTAAAACTCGATAGGTCTA